ATATATAATATAATATAATAATATATATAATATAATATATATATTATATTCTACCGTTTAGTGGAGACGCTTTTAATAATTCTAAATGCTGTTTGAATTTAGACGACTTATTTGTTTGACGATTTTTACTGAATTGAAATGTTTACACTTTTCACGTTAATCACGTGTATTTATTGTATCTAATAGATAGCTTCAATTTATATTTACAGGGACTGTATAAAATTTATTTCTTCATTCGGATTAACACTGTTTATTGGAAAACCGGTAAAAACTTAACCCAGGATTTCCTCTCGAAATACACCCAACATCAAAACAAATAGTTCCACGTTTTTTTTTCCGATATTTTTTTAACATTTTCCGGCTTTATTGTCAAAAAAATTTATATAACATAAGCGTTTAACAGCTGATCAGGGTTGCCAACTTTTTGAATTCAATAGACCGTACCGCGTAATTCAAATTACCATACTATAGCTCGCAAGGATCGTACTTACTAAATGGAGGTGCGACTTTTTTGGAATAAAAAGGGGAGTAATATTTTGTGAAAATTATGAATATAAAAGAAAATTGTTTATCTTTTTTTAACCTTCATAGGTTTTTTTAAGAAATAATATATTAAAAAATTTAAGAAACATAACAATATAATATACAAGGTGTCCCTAAACTTAATGTTATAAATTTAGGAGCAGATTAAGCAAGTCAAAATAAGACGAAAATCTATTTAAATATTTTTCCTAATTACGTATGTTTAAAAGATACAGAGTGATAAAGTGTTACTTATCATATCAGTTTTTTTAATATAACCTCTACTATGGTAGTCTTGGAAAGGTGATATTTTGCGAACAGTCACTTACTACCAAAACCACAGACCACCAAAACAAATGGACAGATTTGTTTACGTTTAAAAAGCGAGTAAAGCATAGTTTCACATTCTAAACACCGTCGAAAGAAACACGGCTTCCAACGTTGTCAGAAGTATAGATTACACGCCTTTTTGGACGTTCATCATAACATAATGAACATTACCATTAAAAATTACCAGTAATTCGTTTGAATAATAAAAAAATTGTAAAAAGGATTTGTTCATCATTTTCTTTAGATATTTTTCTCTATTTAAAGAATCATTTAATAATTATTAAAATTAAATATTAACATCGTTGGTAAATTCGTCATATTTGCGTTGTTGGATTGTGGTTGACAGCATATATGCTGTCAACCACAATCCAACAACGCAAATATGACGAATTTTTTTCTATAGGAAAAGGTTGACAGCTTGTTGTTTTGTGTTTTCGTTTGTGTATTTCTATCGTGTTTAAGTTAATTATTGAGTTTAAATACATTATTTTTTACTAAAAATAACAATACATGGAAATATCGTTTGTAAGTACCTACTTATTATTTTTTTAATCCCAATATTTGTTTATAATTATTTAAAAGATTTATAAACCAATTTGTTTCACTAAACCTAAACTTTGCTGATAATTATTATTTCAATAAAAACTTAATTAAATTAAATTATCCCTATTTAAAACCACGGCATGTAACATAAATAAATTTAATTTATAAAAACGTATCGTAATCACAATTAAATTAAACTATTTTTAAATTATCCCTATTTAACACCAAGGCACTGGTTGCACTCAGCTGTCATATTTTATGTCCGCTGTTTTGGAGTACGGAATACGTCACTGGAAGAAAACATAAAATTCTATAGCCAATTTAACGCTTAGACTGTGACCGCAAACAAAGCATTGTTATTGAATGGCAATGCGCCGTCCATTTGTTTTGGTGGTCTGTGACCAAAACACATATTCACACATAATTGTAATTGTTTGAGTGAACACAGTGTCGTAGAAACGGGGGTTGCTTTAAGCTTATTGTCCCATACAAACTTTGTGGTTAGGTTTTTATAACATTTGATGCAATTTTTAGATTACACAGTTCGGCTACCCTTAAAAAGGTGTACCTCTCAAATTTCGATAAAATAAACTGTTTCCAAGATATTCGAGATTACAATAATTGTTATATCGCATTATTTAAAAGGATAAAAAGGTATATGATAACAAATTTTATTTTTTAATTGAAAAAACTAAAAAGAGCATTCCATGAGCCTCGGGACTTTTTGCCCTGACCGTCACATTTAAAAAAATGTAGTTTTTTCAATTTAAAAATTGTTATCATATACCTTCTAGTCCTTTAATGCGATATAACAATTATTGTAATCTCGAATATCTCGGAAACGGTTTATTTTATCGAAGTTTGAGAGGTACACCTTTTTAACAGTAGCCGAACTGAGTAATCGAAAAATTGCATCAAATGGTATAAAAACTTAACCTCAAAGTTTTTATGGGACAATAAGCTTAAGCAACCCCTGTTTCTACGACACTGTGTTCACTCGAACAATTGTAATTATGTGTGAATAAGTGTTTTGGTAGTAAGTGACTGTTCGCAAAATATCACCTTTCCAAGTCTACCACAGTAGAAGTTATATTAAAAAAACTGATATGATAAGTAGATCTTTTAAACATACGTAATTAGGAAAAATATGTATTTAGATTATCGTCTTATTTTAACTTGCTTAATCTGCTTCTAAATTTATGCCACTAAGTTTAGGGACACCTTGTATATATTATAAAATATAATATACTGTGTGTTTCAGAATAAGATGCTGAACCTTAAGAGTGTGAATCCTTAGTTGATTTTAAGAAAAAAAGTTCAAATAAACCTATGACCTAAACCTCTTAATTTTTGAGTTACAGGGTGTTAAAGTTAAAGGAATTTTTCGAAGGGTACGAAACTCAATGAGGAGAAGAACTGAAGCATACATACTTGCAGGTGGTGGCCACTTTCAACAGCTAATCTCAATTATTTTTGTTTCTGTTTACGTTATTTAGTGTTCTTTTAAAATTATTTTATAATTAAATTTAATTTTAATGTTTATTTAATCATGGGCCATGATTCATGGCATTGTTTTCTCAATATGCGCATTAAATGCTTTTTATTTTTTTCATCGAAAACCGTTAGTCGTACGAAAAATGGTCAAGAAATCAAATTTGTCCTAAAATGAATGGGGATTTAAAAAATAATTTTTATTTTGAAAAATAGCAGTGGCGTGCATAATATTTTTCCAAAAATATCTAGACCACATCCTGTACGGACGCCACTGATAAAAAAAATAAAAAATCTTCTACATCAAAAACTTACTGTTAATGCTTAGAAGGCGTGTGCCAAATTTTATAAAAATATCTAGGAAGTTATTAAAGTTATGATAAAAAAACGATTTTTTTCTTAAAACTTTAACACCCTGTAACTCAAAAATTAAGAGGTTTAAGTCATAGGTTTATTTGAACTTTTTTTTCTTAAAATCAACTAAGGATCAGCATCTTATTCTGAAACACCCTGTATATATTATAAAATACATGAAATAATAAAATACATATTACAAAAAACTTAATCGCCAAAAACAAAATCATCATCTATGTGACATAGACTATGTCACATAGTGTTTGCTGAGTCTCTTCCACTTTAGTAGACGAGGCGCTTCACCACAGGTCAGTGAGCGCCATGAAACTTATAAAATAATAAACATATACAAATTTTTATCAAGTTTTGTACCTACATTTTTAACTTAATTTTTGTAAATATATTTTTAAAAATTTAGAATTTTTTGCTTGTAATTTGAATGTTGGGAATACCGAAATACCTATAACTATAGGTATATGGGAATACCGTACTTTTTACGTACGGTAATGAGTCTGGTCCCTACACCGTACAATTACTTGAAATTACCGTACATGTACAGTAATTACCGTACGATTGGCAACCCTGTAGCTGATTATTAAAAGTTTTTAGTTTTGTTACGATTATAACGGCCGAGTGGAGGCGATACTAGCGATGCTTCTTCAGCGCAATGTTGCCAGGTCAAAAAACTGAAAATCACCAGACATTTGAGTAAAAAGTTGCCAGATTTTGCGAAAAATCACCAGATTTTATATTTATCACATATTTACACGAGATTCATACAATAATTAAAATAAAACTAAATATAATGTTTTATAACATGTTTTGTTACAGACTAATTATTATAGGTAACTAAAACAAGGTTTTTGATGATCAGAAACAATAAAACTGGGAGCATGTAAAAAAAACTATAACACATAATAAACTTAAAACAATATTACCACCGTAAATAGTTTGCCAAAACGGCGACCGGACACGGAAAATGAAACCTAAAACAAGTCAGGCGACCATGGGAAAGCCCCGCGTACCTGTATATAAATTAAAGACTTTTTTTAAATGACAGAATTTTTAATAATGAATAAAAAACATAATATAATCGTTTTTTTTTTAAATATAATTTTATAAATCGGTCGTGTCAAAAAAATCACCAGAAAAGGGACTTTTTAAAAAAGTTTTCACCATTTCACCAAATGGGTTAAAAAATCACCAAATCTGGTGATTTTTCACCAGACCTGGCAACATTGCTTTAGCGTATTATTAGAACAATAATGACATTTTAGGTTAACATTTTCAAAACATTTCACAATGCATGGTTGGCAATCCTTGTTTCAGTGCCCGCTAAATTTAAAACAAGTTTGCTGAGTCTCTTCCACTTTAAACATTAACATACTGCTTACATTATTGTGAACACTAACACAATTTACATGACCATTACCATTAACATTACCATTAACTTTAACATCAACACCATTGTGACAGACGCATTACTTTTGAAAAATGACAATTGAACGAAATTGCACGAAACTTTTTTTGCCCTCCTGTATTATTTTTTGCGGGCGCCCATTAGTATATAGGTATATATGTAGTATAGAATATAGTGTTTTCAAGAGTATGGTATGCAATTCGTTTTATAAACTTGTAAAGATCCTGTATTAAAAACTTGCTGGTGTATTACATAACGTTTATAAAACTAGTTACATAATATATATACTATAATTATTAAGTAATTAGAAAATAACAAACTAAAATCTTGTTCTGCTTACCTATTTTCTTGTCTTCTATAGTCAAGTCTACAATTTCCCTGAGCAACATTAAATAAAGGATGAAAAGCATATTCCAAACAATAAAGAGCCCGTTCAATTAACTCGGCCGCCATTGCGAGATCTTCGCTAAGTTTGCATAAATCCGATAGCTGTACTAAGGCATCAACATGATAGGGGTGCTCATTGATTATAGCTACAATGTTGTCTGGGTTTAGGCTTTCTACTGCTTCGAGAAATTTGTTTTGTACTTGACGGTATGTTGTGCTGTGTTCAAACAGGAAATATTGCACTCCTTGCTTGGTTTCGACTAGACTCATTGATAGGCCGGATTTTCCAACTTGAGGCCAATTTTCTTTGCAGTTAACCATCAATGTTGGCTTAACATGTCCTCTTCCCCCACCTCTGTTCTTTCTTTTACTTAAATAATTCATTTATATTAATTTATGTAAGACATTTAAAAAAAGTTTATATAAATAACAATTTAGCACATTGCACTTGTTTATTTTGTTTATGTTTATTGGTCTAACAATCATTGCTTTATATAGTATAGTAAAACCATTAGTAATTTTGACTCCTATACTATCTATGCCAGTGATAGGCTATAGTCAAATATAATGAATTGTGGCCAAAATATTAAAAAACATGTTTGCTTTAGGATATTGCTGTTTTTTCGAAAAAACTTTTTCGGTTCTCAAAATATTTAAAAAAAAATAGTAAGTTTTACAAGCAAATAGTGATTGAAGTTTACCGGTAATTTTTATTTGATTTTTCTGTGCTAATTTACCGGTAATTTTACGGTAATTTTGGAAATATTTCTGAAAACAAATAATTATACCATGTGGATGGACATTATATATAATGTATACCTTTTGGGATTATATATTTTTAGTACTTTATACAAACCTTAACCGTTTGTTATAAAAGTAAACCTACATAAAAATATAATGTAACAATATTTATTCAAAAATCAAAAAAAAAATATCGTTCTGATTTAGTGCCAAACACTAAGTAATGAAGTAAGTACCTAATTTTATTAGATTTTTCGCATATTTCTTTTTTTGTAATTAAATTTGTTTAAGTAAATTTTATTGTCTGGTATTGGTAGGAAATATTCGAATTTAATAAAATTTGAGAATTTCATTTACTATTCTATTATTATAATAAAAATTTTACTTTAATGAATAGACTATAGTCCTATAGGACGTACAGCATGTATAAATGTTGTTTTTAGTTTTTACAATTCGAATTAAAAGAATTCTTTGTTACAAAGTTTTTGTGTTTAAGTAAGTATACATATGTATCTAAAAATAACAATTTTAAACATTTTAAATCAACCATTGCTCAAAATGTGAAAAATTAAGTTGTTTTTGTTTGTGTGCGGGAAATTTACACCAAAAGCGCATAGGCGACATTTGGTTCAAGATGTGCTAAAGGGTTACAATTACTATTTTGCAATAGGACAGGCTAAGCATTTAAGAAATGTCGACTATGCACCTGAATTTACGTGTATTACTTGCTTTGCTGCTCTTAACAAGTGGTGGAAAAAAAAACAACAATAAACAAAAAAAATATATCACAAAATTTCAAATAACTTGAGAAAACGACCTAATAATAAAAAACGGATTACCCCACTGAATTCTACACCCAAAAATTAGGTTTACATGTCCCGGCGTTTTTTTGTATTTTTGGTATTTCTAAAAATATACACAAATAATAAACAAAAAAGTTACAAAAACTTAAATATGAAATATCTTAAGAAAACGAGCTAACTTTAAAAAACTGATTACACCACTGGATTCTACGCCAAAAAAATAAGTTTACATGTACCGGCGATTTTTTGCAAAAACATTATATTTTTTCTTACATTCCAAATTACAGTTAAGTTTATTTTCAGAGAAATTTTCATTTTTTGTTATTTGTTCTATATGAAACTTGTTTGAATAATGTTTCCTTTATTTTTGTAATAAAGTGGGTTTGGATAAACAGCTTTTTATTTTAAAATCACCTTTTTCACAATTAAATACTGTTTCTCATAATTACTGGGTGATTCCATATAAGTTTGGTTGTGTGTATATACATTTCAATAAGCTTATAGCTAAAAGTGGGTACAATCTACAACATGCCTACGATTTCTTAAAAAACATTCCTCCAACTAGTATGAAGTCCGAAATATGTTTATTTTAAATTATATTTTTTAAAACTGCTAAGATTTATATGTTAGTTGGTTTGTTTGTTGGTTTATTGGTTTTAAAAACTTTTTTCGGGATTAATCCCGGGATCCCGGAATTGGGATTATAAAAATGGCTCAGGATTGACACCCCCAGTTGCAGCTGATGGAAGTTAATTCACTAACATGAGTTGTTAACGTTAGTGGTTATCGTTATATTTAATCGGCCTGATTAGTCGGATTGGCCGATAACTACTGATTCTAGTGGATTAGTGGATTCAATGGATTAAAAATGTAAAACTTGGAATATTGAAATTATTTATTACTCAAATGGTGTTCTTATATTTTTACTATTGTACCAGATATGGAATCATGTACTCTTTTGGGTTTAAAAATGAATTTAATCGGTTAGATTAAAAACAGTAGGTATAAATCCAAAAGTTAAAATTTTGACAAAATATTTCAAAAAATCAGTTTTATAGTTCTAAATAGAAGAGAGAATATTTGAACTATTTCATAAAATATAATATAATATAAATAATTCAAATTCTGTAAAATGATTTATACATGTTCTCATAAAAATGTTTTTTGAACTTAAAAAATGACTTGTCAAAATTAAATTTTGGACTTGTACTGTTCTTATTCTCATTGATTCAATTACAAAAAAATAAAGTGTACAGGGTGATCCCCTATAATGTCGCCCCCTTTAACTTTTTTATTTTAAGGGCCCCAAAAAATTTAAAAGTGTGGTTATGTAGCAACTAAAAAATACTTTTTTTCTACGTATAAAAAAAATTGGAAAATTGATCAGTATACAGGGAAAAACAAAAAGTTTATTTTTTTTCAATGGATCACCCTATATATGTCTTTATTTTTCAATTCCTTGTAAAATTCTAAGCATATTTCATATAACATACCATATACCTAAATTCAACCGTTTCTGAAATATTTAAATTATTTTTAAGACAATATAATTCATTAATATTAGAACCAATAAAATGCCAGTATTCCATAGTGACGTATTTTATCACAGCGGCAATATTTTTTATCATCTTGTTTACACGTTACTATGAATTTTGACGTTTTTTTGATTTGACATTTGTTGTCATTTAAATTCTGTTTTTGATATATATCAATAAAATAATAAATTATAAACTCTAAAAGATCGATGGGTTGGTGTAAACGATAATGAAATTAAGGTAAGTTTGAATAAATAAGGTTTATTAAAGTCTTTTTATATTTTAAAGCACATTTTAATTTCAAATGTCAAACTAAAAATTCGTTAAATCCTAAAATTCATTATATTTTCTCACTAAATATAACTCGTGGTATGATTAATTATAGATGATATTTACTCATTAAAACCAAAGCAGCACATTTCACTCGTCCTGCGGACTCGTGAAATCTGCAGCTCGGTTTCAATTCGAAAATATCATCGATGATAATCATACCACTTGTTATATTATGGGTGATAATAAGTTGAAATAGTTTGTCTTTCTCTGTCTGAGTACAACATTTTTACTTATTTAACAAGACATATTGACGTAATGTCACTATAGTAATTTATTTTCAATAAAAATTTTGGTACCTATACTGAGGCTTCTTGATTTCTAACAGTTTAAAAAAGCATTTAATGATAACATTTCGAATGCGAATATTTCAGAAAAAGTTGAATTTAGGTATATGGTTTGTTATATGAATTATGCTCAGAATTTTACAAGGAATCGAAAAATAAATTGTATAGGGTGATCCATTGAAAAAATATATACTTTTTGTTTTTCCCTGTATACTGATCAATTTTCCAATTTTTTTTAAAGGTAGAAAAAAAGTTTTTTTAGTTCCTACATAACCAAACTTAAATTTTTTGGGACACTTAAAATAAAAAAGTTAAAGGGGGCGACATAATAGGGGATCACCCTGTACTTGTAAATACAAATTTGGGAATCACCCCCTAGTTTTTTCCTAATCACTTCTAGATACTCTGTATTAGGTATTTTGAATATTTGAAATACTTTTTCTAAAATTTATTTATGGATTTCATAAACCATTAGATTTTAATAAGACAGATTTCTGTGAAATGCCATAAATTAAAATACCAAGATACTTACTGTTCACTTTGAATTATTTTTGATCCAAATATTCTTTTTAACTCATTATTAGGATTAAGATGCTTATGCTGAACTGAGAGAATATTTTTACGATGGGTACTTTTCTCATGTTTAATGTTGGTAGGAGTAGCTGCTTTGGGTATGTAATTTTCACCCAATAGTCGATTTACCTCTCTAACTGAGCGTTCAACCTCATCAATCTAAAATTATTATATTATAAAATTAATTGAAATTCTATTTAATTTATTTACATCAGCATTGTCCTCACTACTTCTTTGTGTGTTTACATGCTTTCCAGACTTTTTCTTCTTCTTTTTCTTTTTACGTTTAACAGATTCATGATTATTTTCACCCTCACAAGATTTTGCAGCTTCAGTTTCATTATCATCCTCTTTTACTTCACTCTCGGAATGAGATTGTTGATTAAGCTGCAAATATTTTACATTTATAATTAACCAACAAATGTGTAATTTATAAAGTAATAAAATTTCTATGAATTATTCAATTTAACTTTTAATGGTAACATTTTTTTATATTTACTAGGTTATTTTTAGACACCCAAATTAATGTTTAATCAATAAAACAGGTAAAAAGTACCTACCAAATCATAGCGATTAATATTTAGCTGCTTTTTTCTTGCACCGCTGCTGACAGGAGTGTCAGTTTCGGTATCTGAAATTTCATCAATTAACTCTTTGTCACCTTGCAGCTTTCTTAACACTCTCGAAGACATCGTTTATCAGTTTACTTCTGACGAGTCCTTAGTTTTTCCAAATTAGTTTGTGAGATTTTTAAAGAAAACTTCCGTTTTGAAGTTTAGAACGTCCGTCAGGCAATTTTCACATCTTGTCAAAAAGCCTACGTGAAGTTTGCCACGTTAAACAGATGGGACCTTGTTGTCAAACTTATTCCGATACGAGGGTCAATCGAAAATTGGTTGTTAAGGTTTAGACTTTGTTTACTTTTTACAAATCTGACTTTTTTTCGCACAGGTCGACCTGTCACTTTTTAAACAGAAACGTCACTTTTCATTTGATTTTTGCTTTGCAAATGAAAATATTTAATTTCTTAGCAACGGCGTCATACGAAATTTTTTTAATTTGATTGTTAGCAAAATAATAATAATATTAAATGTTTTTACCGGTCCAAAGCATTTAAACCGCTCCAAAACTCTTGAAAACGGTTCGGTCCAAGCATTTAAAAAAACGAGACAATCCATAGACCGGTCCAGCTTTATAATTTGTTTATTTTTGTTCCGGACCAGTCCATAACAAACAAGCGGTTCTTGGACCGGTTCACAACCCTGGTTTAGAGTAGGTATAATTTTTTTAAATTATTTTTTTATATTATCAATATTTAATTTACAGAAACTTATACGATTTATATTTATTAATTCATATTTATGAATAAATACCTACCTTTTTTATTAATTATGTATTTTATTCAACCCCCTTTAACTTGTGGGCAAAATTTTACTTCACCCACGGGCTGAAGTTAGCTTTAAGTTAAAATTTGAAAAATATATTTTACTATAGTGAGGTGCTTGGAACAAAAATCAAAACAAAATTTCCAAAATTAGGTACCATCAATTTTTGTTTTGGTTATTATTTCCCAAACATCATGTATGTATATTATTATTGATCAAAAATAAAACCACAAATACTTAACTATTATTTATATTTATTCACTTTGTATTGCTTATAAAAACAAATGTATAGAAGAGTAGAAAATAATTTTAGGTAAAAAATTATAAAATACAAAAAATGTTATTCATTAAACAAAAAAGTTAAAATTAGTAATTCTAAAAATTAATAAACATTCTCAAGTTTAAAAAAATGTAACAAAGGCTTATTTACAATATAATTATGTCATAGTTCCAAAAACTGGATTGTGTCTACAAATACTAGGACCATGTTCTTCATATGCAGCTTTAGTATGACAAACAGTATAAAATTCAGGCTAAAAACAATATTTTATATTATGTTAACTGTGTATTATTATATTTTATTGGCATTCATTCATATTCCACTTGACATTTAAAATGCTAAGTAAATAATTAGTGTAGCAAAATTTTAATTCATTTAAACTTTGATATATTGACCAATTTGGGATTGTGATTAAAATCTTTCTTTGTAATTAATTATTACTTACAGTTGAGGCTAACATACTTCCTCCAAACCAAACGGCATATCTTTGCATGTGATGTGAAACTACTTGAACATCAATAGGTTTTGGCTAAAATTTAGTTAATTATTTTCAATTATTGCAAATTAATTAATATTTTTTATTACCTTTAATTTGCCACCACCAAGGGTTTCACTAAGTTTAAGCCTGGCATTAACAGTGTGTTTAATATCCCTTCCTAACCTCCTTCCAAAATCTTTGAACATAGTTGAGCCTCCAGACAATACAATATTATTGTATAATGGCCTCCTTACATCTATTGGGCAGTTTTGAATGACATCATCAACAATTGTTGATATAGGAATAGTAAAATCAGGATTGGCAAATTCAGGATGAAAGAATATTTCTGGTCCTAAAAATCGTTCATATCCAACATCTACATTAAAAGGTTGTTTAGTGACTGAATTGACTCCATCATATTTTTTCATCCATTTTGCTGGATCAGTGTCATACTTGGCAAATTCTTTAGCAATATCTGGGCAAATGTAGGAATATCTTTCTTTAATAGCTTTGGCAGTTTCTAGGGATTGTTCGGGTGGGATTCCAATTTCTCTTTCACGCAAAAGTGATTGAATAAAATAGGTAATGTTCCTACCAGCAATAGGAATATGTTTTATGCAACTACCAATGACATATCCTTCAGCCTAAAATCATTTATTTATTTTAATTTTCTGTAGGGGGTGTTACTTGAAACTTGCTAAGTAGCAAAGTACTTTACTTAAAATATAAATTGGTTTCTATGAGAAGTTATTAACCAATCAGACATCTGCATTATCTTTCGCAATCTAGTAAGCGGTAAATATGCCATTATCTGGCTAAGCCAGAGACATAGACTATATCTCTGGGTTAAGCATACATGAGGAGCAATCAGACAAAACCAGATAAATCCATTTTGACTTCTTGAATGATTCCTATTTCTTTTGGTCAGATAAATCAATTGGAAAAGTCAATTTCAAGCTGAAATTATTATATTATATAAATACTAATATTTATTATATAATATGATAACAAGTTTAGCTTGAAATAGATTTTTCCAAAGGATTTATCTGACCAAAAGAAATAGGAATCATTCAAAAAGTCGAAATGGATTTATCTGGTTTTGTGTGATTGCTCCTCACATATTCTACAGAAAGTAAAGTATAAAATTTCAAGAAACACCTTTAGGTACATATATAGACATGGATTTAACATAGAAATATACAAAATTATAAATTTTATTTTATTTAAATATCGAATTTAATTTAAACCTTTTTACAAGTTTTATTAGTTATTTGCAAATATTAGGGTGATTCAAAAAATCTACTACCTATTCTTTTTCCTTTGACTTATGATATCGAAAAATTGGTTGCTGGGAACCACAAAAGCCTGCTTATAGCACGAGATAATGCAGGCTATTATTCAGAGGCTCGTGAATCCTCGAGGATGCGCCTCGAGTCGCCAGACGAGAGACTCAAATCATCCAAGTAAATAATGCGCATAATCTCGAGTGTAATACAATACTTTATCTACTCCAATAAGTAGATAATTAAATAAATAAAATCTGACATCTGTCAAATGGTTAACCTTACTTTTTACCAATTTTAAATGTTATTGTAGTTCAGCAGACATTTTTTAATGTTCAATAAAAAAATTAAGTTCTTGCCATTTTGAACATTTGTTAAAATATGATCTCTTAAATTGGGTTATCTTGCTGTTTTTTTTGTTTTTCTAATTTTCGTAACCTTTAAGCAATAATTTTACAATATGAGTAGAAAATTAGGTAAATCATTTAATTTAAGGGTATTTCCGCGAAACCTTACCCCACCTTGACAAAAAATCAGATGTGTTATTTAACATTTAAGTCAAATAGTTTAATTGAGACGTGATTTATAACCTACACATATTCGTATATTGTTATGCTAAAAAGCTAACATTAAGAATAAACACGGAAGAGCTTCAATACCCGATAAAACGTTTAAATGTCGCACCCGTTACATTTTGAGAAAATTTTAGAAAATAAAGTATACAATATTTGTGCATTTAAAATACGTGCTTGTTCCTATTCAAGTTTTAAACAAAAAATTATTACTACATATATGCTTTCATTCAAAATTTTACATCAACTTTAGAAGCCAACTTGGTCGCGTTTCATGACGTTATATAAGGTTTTCTATACATGTTTTTATTGACACTTTGTTTCAGTTAAATATCTAATTTTGTATACTATTTTTGTATATTAACGTATCTTGATATACATATATGAACAAACACTTTGTTATCATGAAAAAACGCAGCGTCAGTGTCGCACCCATTACAATGGAAATACCCTATCAGTTTTTTTTAATTACAATTATTAATATTTAATATAAAATATCTGCTGAATGTGGTTAAATACCACTTTTTGTACTTACCACAGGAATAACGTGAGTCACTCCATCCCCACTGTCAATAACTACACCAGTTAAGGTTCTATCTTCAATACTTCGCCCAACCCAACTGGCTGCCAAAGCCAGCACAGCTTGCACAGCAATATATAAGCCTGGCACATTAAACGACTCAAACATAATTTCTGCAGTATACTCCCTATTTTCAGGAGTATTTAAAGGGGGTTCTGTCAAAAGAAAATGATGGTCTTCTGGTTCAGCCCGAAGATATTTAAAAATACATTGTTCTAAAAACTTTTCCATGAGATCCCAGTCTTCAACAAGTCCATGTCTCACAGGATACTAAAAATATGGTAAAAACTAAATATATTGCTGAAACCAAGTTGCTAGCATTGCCAATACTATGTTAAGTTTGTTTCTACATTAGTTTGCAACTTTTTTCTGATGCTGTGAATTTAACATCTCAATGACAAAAAATACTAATCTAGTTATGGCAATAGTTTAATATTTAAGTATGTTTATTAGAGATAAAACGGATATTTGTTTGGCCGGTTACCGGATATCCGGCAAGATTCAATCCTGGGTATCCTGCGGCCGGATATTGGGAGGTTAAAAATATTATAAATTGAATTATTAAAAATGTTTAGGGTATACCTATCCTATAATTTTTGAATAATTTCAATTTACTTATCTGATTTAAATTAAAACCGGATCCGGCAAGATTCAAAGCCGGATATCCGGCAACCGGATATTCGGCGGTTCAAAATATTGAGTCGTTCTATATTATTTAATGTGTAAAGCCAGCTCATTTTGAAATTTGCTCAAACTTTTTAAAAATCTTTTTTGGGTCCTGAAATCCACCGTTATTTAATTATTATCACTTTGTTGCCTGTCCAAATTAAAACCTTTGATAATTTTAGCTGTAAACGTTTTTCTATTTAAGATATTAATACGTTTAAGATGGCATATTAAAGCTAAAAGACAAGTCAAGTGTGGGTTTTATTTCTTCTATGATATGTAACCTTAATCTCTGAAAAATATTTGCTGTTTACAATAAACAGTTGAGACGGTAAAATACACGTATTTTCAGCACCGTGTTATTATTTAGAGATATTGATTGGGTAAATTTATATTATTTTCCCAAAAACTACCATCTTCAAGCTTTAAAATGCTACCTTGACAATATAGCGTTTTTTAAAAGGTTTTAATTTGGACAATAAAAAACTGACACTTAAAATAAATGGAACCCTATGGAACCGTAAAGAAAATTTTTACAAAGTTTGAGCAAAATCCAAAATAGTACAGCAACAAATTTATTTATTTTTAAACAATTTTATATGGATTGACTCTATTATAAATTGAATTATTACAAAATTATAGGGTTTATCCTATAATTTATAAATAATTTTAATTTATTTATCTGTTTTATATTAAAATTTTAATTTAAAACAGATAAATAAATTAAATTATTCAAAAATAAGGAAAATAAAGAGGGGGTTCCCACCAAATCTCACTGAGGGAGTGGGAGGGTGTAAGTTACAAAAATCACCTTACAAAATTAATGAAACCTCCTTACAAATTGTGATTGATTTAATAATTTGAAATAGTTTTTCAAATATCCAGTATCCGGACCGGATATTGACTTACTATTCAGTATCCTGCCGGATATTTAAGTTACCGGATATCCGTTTCATCTCTATTGTTTATTTACTTTGACTGCATAGCCAGTGGCATCAAATGCTTCATCTCCAATAAAAAAGTCCAAATCTTCAACACCTTTGCCCAATCTGCGACTTGATTGCTCCCCGACTTTTGCGGTTTCTTTTATAGCTATCGCAGACGGTATTATAAACTGTGGTTCTTTATTTGCAGCAAAACCAAGCTTTGTATATCTAAGCAGGAAAATAGGTGAATCATATTATTGTTTAAAGGGCTTAATTAATTAAGTCTTACCCGGTTCCTACGTCTATAACACAAGCAGGTAATCTTCCTGTCATTTTGCTTAGCTTAAATTAACAAACTATTTTATTTTAATATTGTTATTTATTAATTTTTAACTAAAAAAACCACACCTAATGACAGTTTAAACCGACAAACACCACACACGTCCAAGGCCAGCGCTACCAACCAGAGATAAAGAAGGTTACCAACATTATTTTAAATAATAAAGTAGATAAATAACTACATTAGCGACGTTGCCGGTTCACTACAGGCACATCCTAAAACAAGGAATCTAGGCGATTAAAACTACTTTAACGTTATTAAAAATATATAAGAAATTAAAAGAAGAAGTTCAAACTTGCATTTATTTACATTTTCTTTTAAATTATTTGAGTTTTTATTTGGATAAATATATTCTGTAAAGTTGTCTACACTTTAAATAGTTTTGACAGCTGTCAAATTGACCTAGTGAATCACCAAATTATTATTGATTGCGACAAAACAAATATAAATTAATGGTATTTAAAGCCTTTATTTAATTATTAAAACAGGTAGGCGTGTTTACAGTTTATGACAATTCTTATTTATTACAATTAAGTAGTATTATTTTATTGCAGCAAACATGGATAGTTACTCCTATCAAAATGGGGCTCAAGTAAAGGAGCAAGACTTTCAAAAGCTTGCACAAACAATAGGAACAAGTATACAAAAAATCACTCAAAATGGTAAGTTATTTGACATGTTGGGTTTCTCTCTAAAAAGTATGCCGTAGTTTCATCCATGAAACGTATGGTAAATCAAATTGGAACTCACCAGGACTCACCTGACTTACGAAAGCAACTGTAAGTTACTGACTTGTGTATATGCTTATATGTTTTAACGTGAATAAATTAAATTCATTTGTAAACTAACCTTATATAAATATGATTTTAGACATTCCATTCAACATTACACCCAACAACTTGTTAAGGATACCAATGGGTGCATTAAGGAACTTAATAACATACCAGCCTCTTTGTCTCAATCTGAACAAAGGCAGAGGAAAATGCAAAAAGAACGACTTCAAGATGAATTTACGTCAGCCTTAAATATGTTTCAAGCAGTGCAACGAAGTACAGCATCAAAAGAAAAGGAGCAAGTTAATAAAGTCAAGGCCCAGACATATGGAGATCCTATTATTGGTAAGTTCAGTTTATTTTGTTTTTTAAATTTCAAAAAAATATCTCCATCAAGTACCTTATCAAATTTTATTTAAGATAAAGGCTGTAGGTACTATAGTTTAATATATACATTTACATAGTTAACAAAACAATATTTGTTTAATATCATAAAATAATTTTATATTACTTGAAAATTACACATTAAAATATTAATGTTTTTGTACAAAAATAGAAATTATTTTAGGGAGTTATAAAAAGGACCAATCACTAATTGAACTACAGGATAGTGGTGCTAGACAACAAATGCAAATTCAGGAAGAAGCTGATTTAAGGGCTTTACAAGAACAGGAACAATCTATAAGACAGTTGGAGGTAATATTATTTAAACTAATAAATTATATAATTTTTAATTTCTAAGGCCTTGAATTATTTATGAGTCAGAAATCCTAAAGTGGGCCCGCGATTTTTCATGTAATCATGAAAATTTAAAAAAGCCACCTGTCTATGCCTATAAAAATCCACCCAAAAGTTTAAAACAATTAATTTGTTATTACTTACTTATTTTTAAAATAAAATAAAAATTAAAACAACACTTTTTCAAAGATCTATATATAAAATTTAAATAAAATAGTCTAAAGATTATTCTTTGGATATTTTATAGCCTTAAGTTTGCATAAGAGTAATTTCATATCAAATCAACCAAAGGTTTCAAAGGCACCATCTTCGATTTTGATGAATTTTGGTACAGTTGCTCTTCCCATTGAAAAACTCGAAAAAACAAAATTTTAATTTCTTTTGAACAGTAGTTTTTCTTTTATGAATTTTTGAAAATCAAGAAATTTACCAGTTTGCCTCTGCAAGCTCTTAAAAAAACAGGTATATCTCAGGAACTGCTTGTCACAGAGCATTGAGTAGCTTGTTTTAAAGGTCTTTAGAAGCCCTTTCAGATGATGTATCCCATGATATACTTTGTCTTAAAAAAAATTGAAATTTTTGAAAAAAAAAAAATTTGGAAATTTATCAAAAACACCATTTTTGTTTTTTTTTAAATATCTTTTGTATCAATGTTTTAGCTACTTATTTAGCAAAACTTAGAATGAAGAAATAATGGATTAATTGTATTAATTTTTTTTTAAATATCCTTACATAGCAAAAATAACAGTTTTATTTTAAAAATAGAACATATTATGAATAGGTATATTAACTTAAAGCTACAACAAATAAATATACGGTATAAAAACAAATAATATATATTTTTGTTTTAATTTTTTTTATAATTTTTGAAACTAAATAACAAATGGAAATTAGTTTTTTGTCTTTCTAAGAATTTTTTCAGTTTCCAACATTTCTTTTTTGGTTAAGGTATAAGTTTAATCTGTACCAGTAACAGAAGTTTCCTCAACATTGTATCTTTATGAATTATCAATAAATTTGTCTTAGGTTACTAAAAATAATTTGCTGGTCCATTCGGATGTAAAAAACTAACTTTAATTTTCTTAGACTCTTCATCCTAGGTAATAAAACCAGATTTAATAAACCTTAATTCAGTACTCCTTATTTGAGTACATTTAACAAGGTCTTGAATGTGTTGTTCCAAGCTGAGAGAAAAAAGTTTAGTTACTATTCTGGAATTCTTGCAAGCCCAAATTTATATCTGAAGGAATACTTACCTTGACATCCATATATATTAAAGTGAGTCAAAAATATATACACAACAACAAAACTAAATTTGCAAAAAATGGGGACACCCATAACTTTAAAACAAGAAGCAGAGATGCACTAGCACCACCCTTACACCTGAAAAAAACCACCCAACAGTTTGTTGATTATTGGGACACGAAAATGTACAAGTTTATCCCAAGTCACCTGCAATATCTAAATGGAAAAAAATTAACATGGAAATAATAAAAATGCTACTCAAAGGATCTTTTTATTCAACTGAGGAACTTATTACTTACCTAAAAGCTTTAAATAAACATTTCTTGTGATAAATATATTTTGGTTTTGTTTGTATTATCAAATATGTAAGGTTTTTATACACTAAATGTTAATTGTAATCAGAGCTGCAAGCTCTCGTTTTTTTGATTTAAATCGTTTTAATGACTTAAGTCATTTGGTAATAACTCATTTCTCTAAAACTGACTTAAGACTTAAAATTTAAGTAATATTCAAAATGATTTGTGACTTAAATATTTTTTTTTTAAATAGACAAAACTTAAGTAATTAATAAAAGGCTTAAATGAGTATATACGATTTAAGTCAGATAGAAACAATTTAAGTCAAAAAAAGATTTAAGTCTTTTTGAAAAAGATTTAAGTCTTTTTAGAAAATATTTAAGTCATATTTTTCATATATTTTTTTATAAATTTTTAACAGCGGCATTTTCTTTTGAACTGCCAGGGGTTCACGCGGAAGCAGATCAAAAACTCCTTTAATTTCCTACCTACAATTGCTACCGCTAGTGGATAAAAAAAACCGCCGCGGTAAAGTTAGCTTTTCGGAACCGTTTGACGGCCACAAAAATGTCCTGTCTAAAATGAATTAAAAAAAAGTGGGGATTTATAATTTTGTTTGCCAACATTCGTCGTGTTCGTGCGTAGGTAGGTCTAATTTGTTATTTTTAGTGCAAAGTGGAAACAATCGGTCGTGAGCGGTCGTGAGCAGTCGTACATCTTGAGCGGTCGTGAATAGAGAGTTTGGAACTTCCCATCATTACTCCCTTAAGGGAGGAATATTTTTTTTCTAGATGGATGTTGAACCAGCTAAAAAAAGTTAACAAAACAACAAGTTATCAGTTTTTGAAATACAGCGATTTTAAGAAAAATGCTTTAACTTTTATCTATTTTAACAGAGTTTGAATCTATTACCGTTTAGAAGTTACCCATTTATGTATATAAAAAGTAGCCTCCCTGTATGTCTACTCTACTAAAAAAAGGTGGTTTAAGTTTTTATTTTTATTGTCTACTATATATTCAAAAAATGTGTTTTAAGTTTTTATTTTGTTTTGTTCTGAAAATAAATCGTTTTAAATTCTTAACATAGTGGTTTATTATCATCTGTATCTACAATAGATTATCAATATCAGTATTATTAATACCATAAAATTATTATTAACATTTAAAAAATCGTTGTATTGACTTAAGGGTAATTATTTTGATTTAAATCACAATTTTTGATTCAAGTCATTTTATTGACTTAACTCTTAGATCACGATTTAAATAAAAAATATAGACTTAAGTCATAAAAACGACTTACTAAAGGAATTAAGTCATAACATGACTTAAATCACTTTATATTGATTTAGGAATTTGCGAAAATAACTTGACTTGAAAGAAAATTATTTAATTCAAAGACTTAATACTTAAATCATTTGAACTCTATCTTAGAGTTGACTTAAGATTTAAATCATTTTGATTTTAGAATTGACTTAAGACTTAAGATCTAAGTCTTTTTAAAACTGACTTGTTGCAGCTCTGATTGTAATGTTGATTTTATACTGTATTATTATCTTGACTAGTCATGTAAAATATTGATGACATCTTATAGATAAAAAGAATATATATATTTTTTTTTAATTAAAAATATTTTGATAAATTTACAAAAAATATTTTTTTCAAAAACTCCCATTTTTTTTTAAGAAAAAGTATATCATGTGATAACATTTCTGAAAAGGACTCAAAAGACCTTTAAAACAAGCTATTACTCAATGCTCTGTGATAAGCAGTTCCTGACATATATCTGTTAAGAGCCTGCAGAGGCAAAATTGGTATAAATTTCTTAATTTTGAAAAATCCATAAAAGAAAAACTACCGTTTAAAAAAATTAGAAATTTTGGGTTTTCGAGTTTTTCAGGACCTAGAACAACTTTACCTTAAATAATCAAAATCGGAGATATTGAAAACAAAATTTACTTTTTTTTGGTTGATTTGATATGAAATTTCCCATAAAAAGATTAATTAATTACTAAAAAACCTGTAAAAATATGATATTTTAAAAATTAAACTTAATCATTTTAGTTATTGGTCTAATATATTTTAATCTATTTCAGATTGATATAAACGATGTAAATCAAATATTCAAAGAATTGGGTGCTTTGGTACATGAGCAAGGAGAAGTGATTGATAGTATTGAGGCAAGTGTGGAACACACAGAAAACTATGTACGTCAAGGAGCCACTCAGTTACGAGAAGCAAGTACATATAAAAATAAAATAAGAAGAAAGAAACTTATTTTGGCTGCAATTGCTGCATTTATTTTAGCTGTGATTATTATTATTATTGTTTGGCAAACATCTTAAAAATATGTATTTATATTTAATGTTAAATGTCCAATGTTGGCAATATAAAAAGTTTCATATAATATATTTAAAATTTAATTGAAAATTGTATATACACTAAATATATTTTTTAATTTTAATTAGGTGCCAAAAATACCGCCTTTTTCCATGTGTTTAATTAGATTTTTTTGTCTTAGAATTTAATTAAAACTATAAACTAAGTTTAATAATTGAAATGTCCATTTTATTTGTAGATATATTGTAGTTATGTACAAGATATTAAATAAATTATAATTAGTCATATTCTTAGTATTATTGAAACAATACATTTTATAGGCAACTCTAATATACAGAGTGTCCGGAAAATACCCGGACAACAATCGGGATTTCCTGGTGAAGTCATGATGATATCACAACGTGATTTTTTTTATCACGCTGTGATATCCTGAGTGCATACACATGCTTCATCACAGTGATATCATGTAGAACTCACGGTGTGATATTTGCGAATATTTTCTTGGATTTAAATTAACTATATATAGTTAATTTAAATCCAAGAAAATATTGAATGTTAAACTGTTGATTCAATTTTTAACATACTATTTCTTTCAATGTACAAATGTTTCGCAAAAATGAATATCCAAACACCGATGGCATAAAAAATCATGTCGTGATTTTTTATGACCAAACACCGAATTATTATCTTAAATTCTTAAAGTATCTTAAGATACTTATCTTAAGATACTTTATCTTAAATACTTTTGAATCTTGGTATTTATATTTAATAGTTTAGATATATCTAAACTATTAAATGTATACATATTAAAAGTATTTGTATCTTGTATCTTAAATACTTTAAAGTATTTCAAATACTTTTTTTTAATTTTAAATACTTTACAACCGGTTTTTATTAGTTAAAACCGTCAATAACCTGAAGTGGGGGTGGAGATCTTAAAAACTGCATATTTTATAGTTGTTATCTAATAATAAGAAAGGTAGGTAAAACAAAGCAAAAGTTTAATAGGAATAAAAGAGCAAAATATGGTAACACGTGTTACAATTAATGTACATTAATTGCTAGTTTGTGACCAAAGAATGAAAATATTAAAAATAACAGGGTGTGTGCTAGCTAAGCTTGACACTCAAGCTAGCACACAACCTATAAAATAATCAAATTTATAATAAATTATGTTGAGCACGATTAATTACTATTTTAGTTTATTAATACAATTGTATTATTTTTATCACATAACAGTTACTGCTAATCTTGTCTTCATATATACATATATGTAGGTACCCTTGCGGCCTTGAGTTTACGGTGAATTCACCGTTTGCGTGAATTCACCGTGAATACACCGTTTATGTGCAGTGAATATACCGTCCATTTGTGACATTTGTAGACGGTAATTAAACGGTGAACTCAGGCTGTTTTTGCGATAAATTTACGGTGATTTCACGGTTAATTCACGGTGATTTCACGGTAAAATCACGGTGAACTCAAATTTGCAAAATCGCCGCAAATTCACTGTCAAAGTACCGTAAATTTATCGTGAAATCACCGTGAATTCACCGTAAAAGCGCTGTGAGTTTACTGTGAAAACACCGTAAATTGACTGTGAAAACACCGCAAATTCACGGTAATCTCAAGGTTGCAAGTACCACGTGGTAATATTACATATGTAAATAATAAATTATTTTAATTGTTTGTAAATGGTTCTTCACTTTAAAATAAATAGTAATTTTGTTGCTAATAGACGGTATTAATAATTAAATAAAAAATTAATAATAAATAATAAGATTTTTTTATTTATAAACATTATTAAATAAATAATTTGTTTATACTTAAATATTGATGAAGCGCATTTATTTAACAAAAACTAAATTCACAAGTTCAACAGTAAAATTTAAAGGGTTTATAAATTTACCTGCCTACTTAAACATTATATTGTTATTCTGTTATAAACTACCAGTACATATTTAATAAACGACGACATTGAAAAGCCAAGTCCGTAGTGGTTCCATTGGCCTTGAGTTCACGGTTTATTCACGGTGAATTCACCGTGAATTCACCGTGAATAAACCGTCTGTGAAAAGTGCGTGAATTCACCGTCTAACTACCGTTTAAAAATGTCACAAACAGACGGTTTATTTACGGTGAATTCACGGTGAATAAACCGTGAACTCAAGGCCGCAAGGGTATGCTAAACTATTTTTAAATTAGTAGACTTTACTTTAGACATAATTGGATATTTTTATTCACTTTTCCTTTGAAAGTATTTGTTATCTTAAAAAGTATCTTAAATACTTAAAAGTATCTTGTACTTTAGTTACTTTTAGGATTTTTCAAAAATATTTTATCTTTTATCTTTTTTAAAAAAATTTAAAAGTATTTAGTATCTATAGATACTAAATACTTTTAAATTTTTTTGAAAAAGATAAAAGATATTATCTTAGATAATTCCCAGCTCTCTCTAAGTTAGAACTTAGTTAACACTGGTCGACAGCAATTTTGCCACACCGCGGTGCACCGTGACCAACAACTTGTATGATAATAAATAATAATAATAATATATTTATTAATCCCATAGGCTAAAACATGTAGAAAAGACAAGTCATTATAAAGTAAAAATATATACATGAAAATCAGAGCTGGGAAAGATACTTTCTAAAAGTATTTAAATTATTTTAGAAAGTATCTTTCCCAGCTCTGATTTTCATGTATATATTTTAACTTTATAATGACTTGCCTTTTCTACATGTTTTAGCCTATGGGATTAATAAATATATAATTATTATTATTTATTATCATAGAAGTTGTTGGTCACGGTGCACCGCAATGTGGCAAAATTGCTGTCGACCAGTGTTATTTAAGTTCTAACTTAGAGAGAGCTGGGAATTATCTAAGATAAAAGATACAATTATTATCTTAAATACTTAAAGTATATAGATATCTTATGATACTTTATCTTAAATACTTTTGAATCTTGGTATTTATATTTAATAGTTTAGATAGTATACATATTGAAAGTATTTGTATCTTGTATTTTTAAAAAGTATCTTAAATACTAGAAAAGTATCTCGATTAATCCACATTGCACATGATGGTACGCGAAAAAAAAGTTTGAGAACCGCTGCTAAAGGGTATTTTATGCAGCTGCTTAAAATACCAGAAAATACCCGAAAATAAAGCGTGCATGAAAAGAGTGTATTTGGAGTGCAAGTCTTTATAACAATGTGCATACGCACACAGCACACTACGTCCATTGTACGTCCATTAAAGGTCCAAACTAAGTACATACGTCCATGGACTTTGAATGTACGTCCATGGAGTTTACGCTTTCCCATGTCCTTAGGATGTTCCAGAAGAACGTCCATAGGATATCCATGGATGGACACAAGACAAGAAACAATAAGATGGATGTTCAAAGTCTAATTTAGGACTCCTGCGGTCGATAATGGCTACTATATTAAATAGTTACATTTTACAAAAATAGCAAACAAAACAATTTTTACAATTTATTTTCACTTCAAACATAACAAATGTTTTATTTGTTGTTAATTCTTAAAATTGTTTTGTTTGCAAACCATGACAGTTTGGTTAAATTAATTTACTATATAGTAACTATAATTTTATTTATATAAACACCTCAGAAATACCAACTTACGAATTAAACTTTATTAATAGGTTTGGTTTATTTAAAAAAACTCCGGTCAGCAATAAAAAATACCTAATAAAAAAAGTCAGTCATGATTCAAATCGCATCATGGTAGTCAGTGACATATTATTATTAAAGGCAATGTAATTATTAGTGTTAAATATAAAATAAAACTTAATTAATTCACTATAATACCAATATATCAGTTATGGGGCCTATATCAAACTTATATGAATTTATAATGACATTGAATAGAAAATTTGTGCGCAAGCAGAATTTAAATTGAAATTTGCGAAAAAAAAGTTAGTTTTCAGCCCGCCTTACCAGCCCCCTACCCCCAAAATTAAGATTATTCAAAATAAAGTTTATCGACAAAATTAAAAATTTATTTTAAAAATCCAAGACTTACAGAATTATGAATTGCACCACTTGAATAATCTTAATTGGGTAAAGGGGGCTGGTGAGGCGCGCTGAGAAACTAACTTTTTTTCGCAAACTTTAATTTAAATTATGCTTGCACAGTAATTGTCTATTCAATGTCATTATAAACTCATATATGTTTTATATGGGCCTCATGTCTAATAACTGAGATATTGGTATACCCAAAATCCACCAGCCGCCACTGTCTAAACCTTTTTTATCCTATGTTTGTAATTTGATTAGAATAAACAAATGTATACATAACTCAGAATAAACAAGTAAACCAAAATTTTTCACAATTTTCGTTCCTAGGCTCATTTTGACATCATATGGAAGTCCACTTCCAACGTACATTGTATGTACATTTATTACATAACATGGACATCCTATAGTGTGCCAAAGTTACGTTATATGTACGTACATGTACATGCATGGAACGTCCATATAATATTCTTGGACATACTATGGATATCCATTTGTACAGGGATGGATGTCCTATGGACACCATATGGACGACTTTGTGCTCTATGGGTACACGCTACTTTGTGGTAATTTCACACTTTTTGAAATAATTAAGTTTTTTCACTCTTTATGTACATTGACATCACGCTTTTTATTTGTCATATGTCACGCTTATAATACATTATATTTTAGCTCATTGTTTCCACAGTGTTAGTGCATTGTTTAAAGACATTTTGCAAAGCTTCAGTCTATCTTACCTTTTTATAGCACATTGTTTGTACAGTTTTAGCGATCACTCAATAGTTTAAGCACATTTTAGATATATCTCGCTTGAGTTGGGGTACACCATTTATTTAAAAGGTGAGGTGATTCCATCTTATGTATCGCTTCTCGGTCTATTGCTAAGATCAAAGCAATCCCCTTCGTGTAGTTGACAGTGCAGGTATTTTTCTTAATAAAATACAGTATGTAGGACCTACATTGTGGGTATTTTTTTTTTTATTTTTTTTTTAAATATTTGATTGATTAATATTATTATAAGGATATTTATATTTCAATTATGTGTAAATTTAAAAGACTTTATAGGTCACCAAAAAGAATCTGTTTTTGTAATAGGCACACAGATGGCAAGAAACAGTGTGCAAACAATGTGAAAAATCAAAAGGAGTTCCCTTTAGAACATTGTCCAGTGATTATTCACACTTTTAAATTTTTGGTTTTGCACATTGTTTCATATTCCATTTCCCACCCTCCGCACATCATTTTTTTTTAAAGATTGCACATTGTTGGCACATTGTTCTCAAATAATTTTGCAAACTTTTTGCACATTTCATTTTCGCCAGGGAGGGTCACGTCAAACCAATCAAAGTACTTGATATAGTCTATATTATAGACATTTGCGCTATCAAAACCATAGGTAGAATCTAGGATCACAACATACCCCATTGAAAAAATAATTATTCACCCTTAAGGGTGAATGCCGCCCCCGCTAAGGGGGATAATGAATATATATTATATTAAAGAGACGTTTTTTAAATTCTTAAAATAGTTACTTTTATTTTATGTAATTAACTAAAACTCGTTTAACATTAAACCAGTTAATTATAATAAAATTCATTTTTTTTTTAAATACTTTTTAAACAATCTGTCAAGTATAAAGTAATTTTTATTGTCAATTTGACGCTTTTCAAAAATAGGTGCTTAAATATAAGAAAAATACAGTATTTCTAATAAAATGGGGCACCGAAATATGCTCTCAGTTAAAAAGGTCAAGCTTCATGGGATGACATCTACAAAATGGACAACAAAGGATAAAATAACACAATATAAGGGGCTTATAAATCTTTACAGTAAGTTAATAAATAATATAAATAAATAATGAATGCAAAAATAATACAAGTGTTAATAAATAAGAGTTATTTATAACGTCGTGACTAGAAGTACACCGGGAGTACGGGCATTAAACGTACATCAGGTTTGTGCGCATGCGTGTTTCCATACCAGCATGGTAAAATTTCGAATTTATTAGTTGAGATTAAATTGGTACACTATAACAGCTGGTTAACTCTTGATAATAATTATGTAATTATTAAGCTAACTTTCAAGTTGTATAAACATTGATTAAAATTTAATTAAGTGATTGAAATACAATTAAAAAAATTAATGAAATGTCAGTATGAATTACCCAAACCAACCCAAACTCAACAACCCAAACCAACCGACCCCGCCCCATTGGGCCCCCCCGCCCCATTGATCGCGAAATTGAGCGACCATTTAATATTATACAATTGACAAATATAAAAATTTGCTAAATAAGGATTTTTTTCCACTTGGTGTACGTTTAATGCCCGTACTCCCGGTGTAATTCTAGTCACTTTGTATTTATAAATATATTTATATATCAAAAAATGTATTCGTTACCAAATACTACCTAATTAAAAATAGTATAGTAGGTATACTATTCGCTTAAGAGATGTTGGCGGAAAAAAGTCAGCACATGGCAAGAAAATAGCGCGTTCGATTTCTCTGGTATATGCCTATAGATATATATAAACTGATCGAAAAAAGTTAAGGATATTGTGAATTCTCTGAGAAAAAAATTGTATAACGTACATTTACTGTCATCTATTTTAGAAATAAAACACATTTGTTTAACTGGTTATTTATACAACTGTCAACTGTTTGAAAACGGCAAGTATAGGTATATATACCTATACTTGCCGTTTTCAAACAGTTGACAGTTGTATAAATAAACAGTTAAACAAATGTGTTTTATTTCTAAAATAGATTCATCATGACGGGTAAAACTTAACCAAGAGTACTCTTGGTTAAGTTTTACCCGTCATGCGCATAGGGTACATGGATCCCCTACTATCAAAACCCCTTAAATCCGTTTTGATTAAAAATGAGAACCATGCATTAAAAAAATACTACCTATCAATTTGCGCATGTAAATGGTTGAAAAATTCACAAAATGTATATATTCATTTTTTAAAATAAATATTTCATGGCTTTTGCAACCATTTTTTTGCACATATTGATAGGTAGGTATATTTTAATATAATATTTTTATCAAAACGGATTTAAAGGGTTTTGATACTAGAGGATTCACATCAAACAATTTACCTTCATATAATTTATTAATATCTGTTTAAAATTCAATAAAAAAAAACGAAAAACATTAAAATAAATTATTTAAAAAAATATTATCTCTAAAAAACAAAAAAAAATTATCAAGAAAACTTGAATACACCATGTAACAGTTCATAGATGAGGAATTATGATATATTTCTAATAAACCTTCTATCATCAGAATATAAACATACTTAAAGAGAATGCAACTAGTTTAATCTATAGAAACATATGGATTTGATATCTTATACACGAAAATATACACAGAGTTAAAAAGAAATCAAAATTCCCAAACTCTATTAACCATATGCTTATAAACAATATTTCCAGCAAAACATTATAGGCAACAGTATAAGTGATCATGAGCTCCAAGTACTACAAATCGCAAGAACAATAGGAGAACATGGTAAACTATAAATTTCAACATAAATAACTGCAAGAGCTCTTGTCCTAGGACTATAAAAAAACCCAATAAACACCTTAAAAATCGAAAACTCTGGATAGAAGATAAAAAAGAGATATGTGATCATATAAACAACTTTTTTGTGAACATTGGAGAGGAATTAGCTAGTACAATAACTCATGAAGCAATAGACTTTGAGCTGAAAACAGGCAGAATGGGATCAAAACTCAAAACCTTCAGAAATTAACACCAAGGAAAGAAATAATTAAAAAACTTAATATATCTAAATCCGCCGGGCACGATGGAATTGATATAAAAACTATCAAAGACTGTAAACAAATTTTAAAAAACATCCTTGTGCAAGTTGTTAAATCAATCTTTAAGTGTCGGGAAAGTGCCTTCCCAAATGAAAATCTCCTCTACATAAATTAGGAGATAAAGAAATGGTAAATAACTACTGTGTATTTGCAAACATTTTGGAAGGAGTGCTAAATAATAAGTTGAGGGAATATCTTGAATCTTGAAGTTTCTTGTCGCCCCATCAATATGGCTTTTGAAGGTCCAGTGACATAAGTTGAGCAGCAGTCGATCTAGTCACCGAAATACAATTAAACCTTGATAAAGGACTTAAATGCGCACTTGTGTCCCAGCAAAAGGCGTTTGATACGGTTAAATTTAAAATCCTGCTTCAGAAGTTGGAACTCATTGGAATGGGGAAATCAGTCTTGATTGGTTTGTGGATTATTTGTCCAATAGAAGGCATTATGTCCAAATATATTTGGAGAGAAGGGTCAATCCTTGGGCCAACATTATTCTTTATTTATATCAATTCAATCACCAACTTACGACTAACAATATTTTGACAACGAACTCATTGAATTCTTGCATTTTATTTTTAATCTGTACATTTTATACAAAAACTCTTTCTTTATTAAGTGTGTAGCAAATATTTCTCCATCCCGAAAACAATGATTTTTTCAAAAACTGCGTTATCTATATGTATATAGCCCAACTATAACTACCGTATGCAAATAATCAATTTACACTATTCCTCTTTTTCGCCAACATCGCTGAAGCGAATTAATTAAGTTAATTTATATAAGCCAACCTGTTCTTGAAAACCCGTGCAGGGAGTACTCTTGATCCTTTATTTAAGAAACATCTTTATTTTAATGTTAACATACAACGTAACAGTATAGGACAATAGAACTTACAATATCTAACTTATATTTTTTAATTCATTATTAGATTTTCTATAAAAACCTACAAGGCTTTTTTACTTTTTAAAATTTTTTCAAAATTAAATAGCTAGAGATAAGGCCATAATGGAGATGGACTCAATTGTCGAACAAAAAAATCAGTACAAGGATTTAAAGAAACTCCAAAAAAATGTCGAACTTCATAGAAAAGAATTGGATAATGCCATCGCAGGCGATAAACAACAACTAAGAAATACTTTAATTGAACATAAAGAAATGCAAATGGCCTATGAGAATTTACCCTCTAAGGTTACCAGTCTTTTTAAAATTTTAATTTATTTATTTTAAAATACTTTCAGAAAGTTATAGAAACTGTAAACCACCTTGCATTTAACAAAAGAAAGGAATACGACCGCTTGAATTACAAAATGAAACTGCGATCGCAAAGGTATATAGATTTAAAGGTAATAAGAATAAAATATAATCAATCTGTATCTTCAAAACTTTTAATTTAGAATTATGCTTCTGTTCTTGCGGACAATTTGAACTATGATTTTGCTAAATCGTCAAAAGAATTACCGGAAGAGCAACAGGCTCAAATAATAACAGGAAAAGTTCAGGATGCTATTTTAAAGAGAGAAGCTGCATTGGCAATCAGACAAACTTATACGCAAATTATTGATATAATGAAAAAGGTAATTAAAATTTATAAAAAACTTATAAAATGTTTGTATTTTATTTATTTAGGACGCTCTCTATTTTGATGCTATTTTAAATACAATCCAATATGATGGTTTATTGCAAGGAAAATGTATGATTAACGCTACTAAGCTAGGCCAGCTTGCTACTGAATATTTGGATGACCGTAGACAAGAATTCGAAAAACTCGAAAAAACAGTCAAGAAAGATATGCTCAACCGCAAAAGGGACTTGGCGGCTTTTACAGAGGAAGAATTAGAATTTTCCAATCATATTAAGAACTTATTAAGAAGAGACGTAAGGGTTAAAATTTATTCAGCATTTTAATAACCTTGCAGTTTTTTAGAGTGACATTAATATAGGAAAAATAGAAATTGAAGATCCTCCACATTGTTTAAATCTTCAAGAAGATTTTGAAAACATGGAAAAACTTTTAACTTTTTTAAAGAACAGCACTCTAGTTCCATCTTTTGATGCAATTTACCCCTGGTAAAATAAATCGATAGATTATAGATTTAAAATATTTATATTTTTTATTTAGTTTACAAGAACAGCAGCGCCAAAAAGAAAGGCTTGAAGAAATGACTGCAATAACAGAAGAAAAAAATAATACAATGCTTAACAAATACAATCATGGGAAACTCATGAAAATTGAACTTAAAAATAGCATGGTGACTTCTACAGCCCAGTAGGTTAAAAAAAATGTCTATTTAAATAATATAATTTCATTTATAGATACAACACCGATAAGGTTGAAATGCAAGAACAAATAGATGAAGAAACCGAAACCAAGAGAAAATTGGATATTTTAATTGATACACGAAATAAAATACTTGCCGATATTTTAACAAATTTAAAACAATTCAAATATTCAGCGCAATTAATTACTCTTGAGGAAGATAAGAATGCCACTTGGGATGGAAATAAAGTACCCGAGCCTGATGAAACTGATGGTAAAAAAGAAAGCACAGTTAATTAATGATTAAATTTAATTTTTATGTATTTTAAGGAATAAAAATAATTGAATTTTTAACCAAAGCTTTCACAAAATTAATGAACAATGTAAAACAAAAATTAGTAGGACCTCAAATGGATGAAGGATATTCCAAGTATGAAAAACTTATGGCAGAAATTACATCTTCCATAGATTATTCAGAAATTATTTTAGAAGAATGTAAGCATATTTTTTTTTATTAGCTTAATATACTTACTTTTGTTTTTATTTATTAACAGCACTAGTTGAGGATCTTCATTTGGACCCCAATATCTTTACAAGAGAGGACATTAAAAGGCAAAGTGCTGAAATTGTACTTGCCAATACGAAAAGTGAAGAATAAAATAGATATACATAAATATACTTCTTTTGAAAATAATATATATAATAAATACTAAATTTTTCGTAATTTGTTTATTATTTTAATTTATTATTAAATTAAAAATATAAACAAAAATTTTGATAACAAGTACATTTACTAGGAAAGAAACACATTTTACTCATCATTCTGTAGCAATGTAAATTTATTGTATACTGCATCATTAGGTAGTTCTTCATTATATTCATCATCATCTTCAGATTTCTCTGTATCACTTTCAGTTTTTATTTCATCATCGCAAACTGTAGTAATTTTTGCAGTTTTCTCAACGTCATCATCTGAAAGTGGTATCTCCTCTTCAAATTCTTCCTGATCCTCACTTCTAGCTTGGATCCATCTTACTTTTTCAACATCTGGGTGATTATTCCAAAAGCCTTTAATTTTTTTATAAGAGAGGGTTTAACAATAAGTATGCATAAATACTTACTTCTTTTTTCATGATAGTAAGGTGGTCTAAGACACAAACATAATTTACCATCAAGAGCCATTCGAAGGAGACTGTTGGCTGCTCTATATGAATCAAGTCTGGCCGCTTTGGCAGTGATGTATCCTCGTTTCTTGGCCCAACCATCACAAACGTCCATTGCTGACCATTGATCGTCATTTTCTGGATGATCAATTCTTAACAATTTTGGTAAATCCATTCTTTCAGCTAAAATTTTTTTTATGACTTAGTTAACAAGGAGATACAAATTTAATGTAGAATAAAACCTAAATATTTTATGGTGGTAAACGGTTCCCTAAGCTGGGCAATAGGGTAGCTTCCCATTAAAACTTGGAGTTGTTTAGGTACTTTGGAAGGAAAAATTAATCCAGGACAATCGCAAAGTTTTACTGTCGGTGTTAAAAATATGGTTTGAAAGTGTTTTGTGTGTCCAGGTGTTTTTGAGACACTAACAACTTTTTTTCCCATAATAGCATTCATGAGAGACGACTTTCCTACATTTGGTTGTCCAATGCATCCTATTGTTAGTATTCCATCATTAAATTTTTGCTGTTCAACATAACTTGTGTCAACTTTTGATAGTTGAATCGTTTCCCCAATGGACACTTTTTGGGTTTCATCGTATTCCTGGGTAATTTCTTCTTGAATCTTGTTTTGCCATGATGTTATATCAACATTTTCCCCCACCAAATGCTTACAAACGTCAAAAAGTTGCTGAGTTCCTTCAGCTGCCATGCGTATTCTGCCTTTTCTCCTTCGAACTAGTAAACCGCCTTTATCAGATTGTTTGCCCATTAAATTATATCCTGGCAATGTGGTGAACATAACTATATGCAATTCTGGATATTTTTCTTGAAAATAATTTTTCCAGGCTGCTACTAATGGTGCAGGTGCGAGGTCTATTTTGTTAAGCACCAAAATAAAATCTTTTTTTAATGTTGACGTAACGTAATGATAAAGAGACGGTGGAAACATTAAAGCCTAAAATATATAACAACTTAAATGTAATTTTTTTATTACGAAAATAAAAAATAGTTAATATACTAAGCCTGGATTGTATTAATGATTTTTTTATTACTATCATTTAAAAAAAAATATTTTAGACTGTTAAATGGGCTTTTTATTATACCTTTTTGAAAATGAAATGTTTTTATGTATATCAATGAAAGATCACCAATAAACGACGTCTGAAACACGTCATCTGACGTCACTCTGCTACATAGATCTTTTTAAGTTAAAAATTTTTTCCCTGAAGTGCGATGCTATACCTACTATTATAGTGTAGTATAATATTATACTACACTATAATAGTGTAGTATAATATTATACTACACTATAATAGTGTAGTATAATATTATACTACACTATAATACTACACTATAATAGTATAGCATCGCACATCAGTATAGTATATACTAGGGTGTTTAAAAAAAATCGACTTTTTCTTTTTCTTCAAATGGTCGGCAAATTCTTTCAGAGGATGTCAACACAAAGACCTCGTCAAAATTTGAGCTTTTAATTTGAAGATTTAGAGGTCGCGGATCGCAATTTTCTATTTCCCATTTAAATAACATGGGATTTTTTTTTTTTAACTTTGAAATTTTATACGTCTGAATCGAATCAACTTATGTCAAGGATCATCTTAGATTTTCATAGTAAATTTAACGCTCTACAAAAAAGGTCTCCTATCATTTTTCTATAAATTGATTCCTTCCAGAGTTATTCGAGGCCAAAGTTTGATTTCCATCGAATATTAGCGTTTTTTTAACATTTATGGTACAATTTTCATTATACGGGTGTCCCGAAATCAGGGGGCCAAACTTAAACAGTGCATTATTCGTAATAAAATAACACTTTTTTTGTTTAATAAACATGTATCAAAAAATGTCCCCTAAAGGAGCTACGGCCCCCTGAATAGGAGCCTAAGAGGATAATTTTTTTAAAACTATTCCTAGAGGGTTGAACATGAACAAATGAATTTTCGGTATTTTGGTAAAACTGTTAAAATTTAATCATAGGCGTAACATTTGGAGGGGGCAAAGTTACAAAAATAGCCCCAACTTTTTTCTGGGTTAATAATTTAATTTTTTTTATGAAATTATGAGAATTTATAGTTTTTTACGAAAAATAGGTACTCTTGATTTGAATTGCTCAGATGCACCATTTTCGAGAAAAATGCATTTATAAATAAATTACTCTGCATATTATACACATCTCATATTTTCATTAAAACTTTGTAGTAGGCTTTGGAAGAAAGAGACGTTTTTTTGTTTTTTTGTTTTTTTTTACAACACTTCCTATGTTTCAGATATAAATATGTGATTTTTTTACTACATGATGCTAAAAGTTGAAAAAACGAGAAAATTCGATGAAAATCAAACTTTGGCCTCGAATAACTCTGGAAGAAATCAATTTATAGAAAAATTATAAGAGACATTTTTTATAGAGCGTTAAATTTACTATAAAAATCTAAGATGTTCCTTGCCATAAGTTGATTCGATATAGACGTATAAAATTAAAAGTTAAAAAAAAAAATTTCCTATGTTATTTAAATGGGAAATAGAAAATTGCGATCCGCGACCTCTAAATCTTCAAATTAAAAGCTCAAATTTTAACGAGGTCTTTGTTTTGACATCCTCTGAAAGAATTTGCTGAACATTTGAAGAAAAAGAAAAAGTCGATTTTTTTGAAACACCCTAGTATATACTATACTATACTATAGCATATTATGCTCTACATCAAAAAGCCCCACCTTGACATTTGAATACAAATAATTAAGGTAATATATCAGTCAGTTTAACGCAAATTTTGTCTTATTTTCCAATACATGTGTTTTTTGTTCTAAATTAAGACCTTTATACACCAAAAATACATATAATAAATTATTTTAAGAAAACAGGACAAAATTAGAGTTAAACTCATTTGTATTCAAATGTCAAAGTGGGACTTTTTGATTTTGGATTTTAAGTACACCCTACAAACTATGTCAACGTTAACATGAACGTCGACATTCGAAAATGCCTATAATGACGTTCATACGCAATAACTTGTCGGGTATACTCTTAACCCATTTGGAAGAGAATTATATTTAAGGATTCTTTGGAAATCAAAAAATTGACAGCACAGCATGTCGAGCTTTTTGACGACGTCAACATTAATGTCGACATCCTCGAATGCCTCTAATAACATTAATTCGCAATGATTTAGCTTTGTCTGATATCCCCTACTTATATTACAAATATAATCATACTCTTATATATTTTTAAATGTTTAAAAAAATTCTTTGACATTTGCTGTCATTTGTCACAAATGATTTGTGTTTAGTACGGTTTGGCATTTTACCATGGATCATTTTGCGCTCATAATGTTTGTAAATTATTCAAATTTAAGTATAACAAAACCTCTCCATCCAATTCATCCGCAAAGAATCTCTGTTATACATGTATGCATCAATAGTTCTTATTTTGTTGTTGTTCTAAATTAATATTTTTTAAGTAGCTCAGGCAAGCTTGAGCACAAAAGAAAAGAAAAAGAGAAGGAAATGGTGGCTGAAAAATTTAACAAATATTTTATTAAATTATAAGTATTATAAATAGGGTAAATAGTGTCGAGAATATTATATAATTAAAAATGCCTTCACAGTAATAGGACACAAATTTTTAGAACTTGTAAACATGTTATTATCCAAAGGAATATTTCCATCAAAATTAAAAATTTCTGTTGTGATTCCTGTAGCAAAATTGCTAAACACTATTTTATGTGAAGAATTTCGATTGGTCAATGTTGTTTCACTTTATGAAACATTCTTAGAAGATATGATAATGTAAAACTAACAAAGTTTTTTGTGAAAACCATTTGAGTTTTAAAAAGGGAGATTCTTGTGAAACATCAGTGATATATAAATATATAATAAATATATGTGATGAAGGGCAAAAATATAAGGACAATCTTAGGGTATTGGCGGTTTTTCTGGAGTTAATATTGATTCAATTTTAAATAAATTAAATTGGTGTTAAGGGAGTAGCTTTAAGTTGGTTCGAAAATAGAAAACAAAGAGTTAAATTTAAAAATAAATTTTCCGAAGAAAAGAAAACTAAATTAGCTGCCATATTATTTATAATTTAAAATAATAACATAGCAAAACTTGTATTAAAAAGTAAAATAGTTATGTTTGCCGACGACACCATGATATATCGATGGTTATTTGACAAAACATCGTAAGCGACAATTTTGTTGAATTACTTTTTATTTTATCAAAGTGTCAGTTACGATAAGCTGCACATGTTAACATAATAGTTATTCCAATTTTGGAATCTAATATTGGTCAGTTTGAATATTTTTATTATTGTAAGCGCCTCTTCTTTTTAATTTGTTACCGATTTATAACGTAAGCGCCTATATGTTCCCGACAAACAATCGTAAGCAACTCCGAGACATGGCGTTTGCGATTTAACATTGTGTCGCTTACGATAATATTGTGCTCCCTCCTTGATCTATCAAGGCGTTATTCCCGCTCTAAACAGTTTGTTCGTGAGTATACCTGCATCGTGGTGATTGCTACCACAATCCACAATGTGGATTGTGATTGCTACCAAGTTTTAAAACAATATTTTATTTGATCAAAAGCTTATAATTCCTTTTTATTATTGCAATATTAATAGTTATCCTAATTATAATTGTTTTTACGTAGTGTGGTTCGTTAAAAGTGGTTTTTTGTAGTAATTCTGTTGTTATAACGTCAAATAATTTGACTCAAATTTATAACGGTACAATGACGGCCAAAAAATTTCGAACGACCTGTCATTCAGTTGATTTTAAAATGTAAAACTGCCTTTAGTGACAACTAACCTTACTTTCTGAAAGTTGTCAGTTTGACGTATTTCATTGTTGATTGTGTTGTTTTAAGATTAGATTCTCTGTCTACTTTTTGAAACTGCTTGTCATCTTGTCAAAAATGTCCCTAAGGGTTGGTTTGTACAGACATTTTTTTAAATGACAGAAGTTTGTTTGTTCGAAAATGTAACTTAAGCGACAAGACTAATTTTACATTTTTCTAAAGATGTTCTTATAAAATATCGTATGCCACAAAATTTAATGAAAATTTTAGATTGGAGTTGATCTAACTTAAATATTTGAATTCTACATTAATAAAATAATGCCTCACCAGTTTTCAGATAAATAACTTTAAAAATAAAGCTCCCACACAAAAAAAATCTCTCCTGTAAAATTTAGGTTTTGTCGCTTACGATGTTTTGTCAAATAACCATCGATATACAGTAGGGTGTTTCAAAAAAATCGACTTTTTCTTTTTCTTCAAATGGTCGGCAAATTCTTTCAGAGGATGTCAACACAAAGACCTCGTCAAAATTTGAGCTTTTAATTTGAAGACTTAGAGGTCGCGGATCGCAATTTTCTATTTCCCATTTAAATAACATGGGAATTTTTTTTTTAACTTTGAAATTTTATACGTCTGAATCAAATCAACTTATGTCAAGGATCATCTTAGATTTTTATAGTAAATTTAACGCTCTACAAAAAAGGTCTCCTATCATTTTTCTATAAATTGATTCCTTCCAGAGTTATTCGAGGCCAAAGTTTTATTTCCATCGAATTTTCGCGTTTTTTTAACATTTATGGTTCAATTATCATTATACGGGTGTCCCGAAATCAGGGAGCCAAACTTAAACAGTGCATTATTCGTATAAAAATAACACTTTTTTTGTTTAATAAACATGTATCAAAAAATGCTCCCTAAAGTTGCTACGGCCCCCTGAATAGGAGCCTAAGAGGATAATTTTTTTTAAACTATTCCTAGAGGGTTGAACATGAACAAATGAATTTTCGGTAGGTACTTTGGTAATTTTGACATGCTGAATCTAGATCTATGATCAAAACTGTTAAAATTTAATCATAGGCGTAACATTTGGAGGGGGCAAAGTTACAAAAATAGCCCCAACTTTTTTCTGGGTTAATAATTTAATTTTTTTTTATGAAATTATGAGAATTTATAGTTTTTTACGAAAAATAGGTACTCTTGATTTGAATTGCTCAGATGCACCATTTTCGAGAAAAATGCATTTATAAATAAATTACACATCTCATATTTTCATTAAAACTTTGTAGTAGGCTTTGGAAAAAAGTGACGTTTTTTTTTTGTTTTTTTTGTTTTTTTTTACAACACTTCCTATGTTTCAGATATAAATATGTGATTTTTTTACTACATGATGCTAAAAGTTGAAAAAACGAGAAAATTCGATGGAAATCAAACTTTGGCCTCGAATAACTCTGGAAGAAATCAATTTATAGAAAAATTATAAGAGACATTTTTTATAGAGCGTTAAATTTACTATAAAAATATAAGATGTTCCTTGACATAAGTTGATTCGATATAGACGTATAAAATTCCAAAGTTAAAAAAAAAAATTTCCTGTTATTTAAATGGGAAATAGAAAATTGCGATCCGCGACCTCTAAATCTTCAAATTAAAAGCTCAAATTTTAACGAGGTCTTTGTTTTGACATCCTCTGAAAGAATTTGCTGACCATTTGAAGAAAAAGAAAAAGTCGATTTTTTTGAAACACCCTAATATACAGTATACAGGGAGTCCCCAAAATAGTGGGCAATACTCTACACGTAGTTTTTAAAGACAAAAATAGGAAGAAATCTCCTTATAAACATAGGTCGGCAAATGGACCCCAAGAAAGCTGCAGTCTCTTAAAGGGGCGCCCCTGAAGATTTTTTTTATTAATATTTCCGAAACAGTTTGAGATAAAATAATCAAATTTTGTATGTTTACTTTTTATGCTGAATTTAAAAATAACAAAAAAAATATTTTTGTTATATATGAGTGTATTAAACAGGGTATTTTTATCCCCAAATTTTTTGTGTGCAATCTTTTTTGAAAGTTGGCTGCAGAATATAAATATGTTGAGTTTTCAACGTAAAACAGGTACTCTTGTTGAATATCGATAAAATGCACCATTTTCGAATAAAAATAAAATAACAAAAAAAATGTTTTTTTTTTCAATTTAACAAAAAATATTAATAAAAAAATACACATACCTTAGGTATGATACCTATTTCCCGAAAATACATTATTTTATCTAAAACCGTTTTAGAAATAATAATAATAAAACATCTGTAGGGGTTCTGTAGTACCTGTAGGGACGCCCCTTAGGGGCCATTTCTGTGGGTAAAAGGCATAAGGGAATAAGTCAAAAAAGCAATTTTTCAATAGCCTTTAACGTGTTCGGGTATACGCTTTTGTTAGCATATGACATGTGCTAACAAAAAGGTATACCCGCTAACCATAAATAATGTTTCCTGAAATAATACGAATACGTTTAAGGCTCTACTGAAAAATTACTTTTTTTGACTTATCCCCTTAGGCCTTTTACCCACAGATTTGCCGACCTAGATATAAAGTTTTTTGTTCTATTTTTGGCGTTAAAACCTCATATAGATTATTGCACACTATTTTCGGGACACCCTGCAAATTAGTTAACAATTTAGAAGAAATGAGACTACATGATAATAGTTGAGTATTAATATTAAAAAATCTAAATATATGATAGTGAGTAAGTTTAGTAAGTATTTCAGAAAAGTAAATAACTTGGAGTTATAATTGATACCCAAATAAATTTTTTAAGTCATTTTAAAAACATACAAAATAACATTAATAAAAAAACGTTCTTCTTAAGAAGAATTAATATTAAAATAACTTTATATAAAACCCTAATAGACCCTCACGTAGAATATTGATTAACAATTATTGTTTTGGCCTTAATAAAAATTAAAAGAAAGTCTTACAGGTTTTACAAAATAATTAAAATGAGAGTAATGGGTACTACAATGCAATAAATATACTTATCCCAACAACTTTAATGTTAATTATGCTAAGTTTTATGACAGTTTACCAAAAAATAACATATTGACTCCCTATTTACATAGAAAAACCTACATCAAGAATTTTTTTAAAGGATTTAAATTATATAATAATTTACTACTTGATATTACCTAAACACTGTGATAACTTTTATGTTTTTAAAAATATGTTAAAATGTTATTTGATTAAAAAATTGTAATATATGTACATATGTAAAATAACAATGTATTTGTTGCCAATGTTTTAATATAGCAGAGGCTAAATAAATATATTATTATATTATTGTTATATTATTTGCTGGACGTGGATGTATCATTGGGCAGGTCCATTAGATCACATCACCAATTTGACCAATCAAAACGATGGACGTGAATTATATAGTTCGTTAACGGTGGACGTGTCGCTAGCCACTTTGTTAAATAATTCCTACTATTTCAATAGTTAGAATATTCGATTTGTATTTTGAATCCAATATCACTATTTGAACACTATTGGCCCACCCCTAGTAATAACCAAACCTTCTTAGAATTTCTCAAGGAACTCTTGGTTAAAAGATTATCCGGTGACCGTGGGACACCGTGTATAATTCAGTTTTGTTCAGCCTCTTCATATTTCAAATTTAATTTAAAAAATTAACAATGGGTCTAATTGATAAACCCGTAAGTACAGACATTTTTTTAAATTTGTGTAGTCTGGAAATTTGGGGAAATGGGTCATTAATTTATGTAAATGAATTAAACACGATTATCTAATGGCGTTTCAAAAATAAAAACAGTCAGAATATATATCGGAAGTTGAGAAATTCTATTAACCATGTTAACAGCAGGTAAACTGCAGCTACATTGTTTGGGATGTGTAATATTCTGGTTAGTAAGAACTCAAAAAGTACTTAAAATAACTCCACTTATCGCGTGTTCTGGCGTGGGTGTGCCATTTTAGGGACTGTATTTTAAGAAGGATTTTTTTGTCCAGCTACTTGAATAGTCATTGTATGCCAGTGGGCAAATTTTTTTTATAATAATTTGTATAAATAAACGGAAATGTTCTTGTACAATTGTAACTTTTATTACCGGAAATGGCCGAGATATTTCGTCATGGGCTCATTTTCAGGAAAACTTACACTAACGAGAACGTGCCATGGTAAGTGCGAAATAGGGGAGACGTGATATCGCTACATTCTTTCCGCAGCTTTTCTCTCGCTAGCTCAACTGTTGGTTGGACTGCTCGCCTGAAGATTTTTTTGTAACTTATTATTATCTACTCTTTTTCAGTATAAATAAATATTCTTAAAATAATGCTTTTTTGTACTCGACATGACGTTAAGCAAATATTTTTATCAACTTTTGTAATACAGTCAAGTTTAATTTTAAAAGAACCATTAGCAATTAGTCTAGAAATGTTTCGATGGTTCCTCCAAGTTGATCAGACATGTTACTTGTTTGTAACATACAATTTTCATTTCTAATAAGTGAAATAGTATATTGTGTCTCAAGGGCAGAAAACTAGCTTTAGCAGCCCGCGGCTATTAAATGCGCGAGCGAGCGAAGCGAAGCGAGGGCAGTTGATAGCTAAGGGCTGCTAATGCGTTTTCTGAATGTGTGACACACACCTGTTTTTCGCCTAGCATCAAACAAATTATTTTTTTAAATTTTATTAATATAAACGGAATTTTATAAGAAACTTCAGTAACAATTTACAAATTTATTTATTGTTGTATTTAATGTTAATTATTCCTTGAGCACAATTGTGGATAGTACCAGAATTTGAAGGCTTATTTCTACAGATGAAGTTGATGTTTCATTAGAATTATCTTTGATCTTTCCGATAGATAAGCAACTAATACATTTTCTGTTAAGTTTTTGGCTTTTTGATCCTTTTTCCAGTTTTTAAATAATTCATAGCACTTTTCGTACCGTTGCAACGCATTGTCTTAACATTGCTAGCTTCCTCTTTTTCAAATGTGGTCAAGTAAATTTTTCGTCACTGTCCGAGTTACCATTCATTTTCACTTTATTACAAAATTTAAATAAGGTTTTATTGTTATTTTATACTTTTGTTGTCCGTTTTTATTTTGATTTACACATGTGTGCACAAACGTCCATGTCTGACGGTGCAACTTCTCGCGGCGATTTTGTTGCGGCGACTAGGTCGCCGCGATTTTTTGGTGGTCACACGATGCAACTAATCAGCTGATCTAACCTGTCTCAAAATAGAACATGTTCTATTTTCATGCAATAAAATCGCCGCGACTTAGTAACTTTTTTAGGGATTTACGAATTTTCACTAAATTTTTTGGTTGGTACTCAATATTTATCAGCTGTGCAATGACAGATGTGATTTGCGTGTGCTTTAATCTGAGTGATTTTATTTTTACACCACAAAATACTTATAACTTTAAAAGAAAAACAAAATCGATTTAAATAAACATTAAATTTGTTTAGGTATTTTTATTTTTCAACTAAGTAATTTTCGGTTATGTTGGCAATCCTAGTAGAAAATAACGTCAGTTTGGTTGCACCGTGTGAACACCCTAGAGGCGAGAAAGTCGCTGCAACTAGTCGCCGCAACAAAGTCGCCGCGAGAAATTGCACCGTCAGACATGTCAAATGCCAAAATACATAAATATCAGTCAAAGGTGTCTAGATTGTAAAAAACTACAAAAATGAAGTTTAGCGGCCCTAGGGACGATATGAGTTTAGCAACCCTAGAGACAATAAATATTATTTTCGGTCATATTTTTAGGTTTGATATGATTCATTTTTATATGTGCTGGGCGAAAAATGTAATTTTCTTACTACCTCCGTTGAAAATACGTTGTTTCGTCCCCGATTCCACTTCCACCGCCCTCTATAATATCGCTCGTGCCGCAAATGTCAGGGCAGGCATCAATATGTTTCGATATACACATTTAATTTTTTCCAGTATTTTCGGCCGGGTAGCAAGAAAAATAGTATACACTACACGGGCAGAAAGTGTGAGAGCCCTGAACTGCAGGAACTGCTGAACAGTGCAGGAATCTCACACTTTCTGCCCTTGTAGTGTAATATACTATTCCACAGGTTTGTGGATTTTCCTAAGTAAAATTTAGTAATTTTTTGTTCTTGACTGCGAAAGCAAGGAATACCACGAAAAAATTATATAGTTGGGTTTGACAGATGACATCTGTTGTGATTTTAGCTATAGTAAATGTAACGAACATCGGTTGTAATCGTTACGATGTCAAACTTCACTATATGATTCATTTTTTGGACCATTCGGATGCATCCCCTTGTTTCCCAGTCAAAAAATTAACTAAACTTTACTCTGGAAAACCTCATGGCCTGGAGAGGTGGTCACCCTAACACTAATGTGTCTTCTGATGACTTGACAAGCGGAGAAAATATCTTAATTATTAATTTTACGAGTAAATCTTTATAAACAATTATGCTTGTTAAAAAATGGGGTTTCCATGAAAAAATTCAGATCAGATATACAGGGACTTCAACAGAGAAGTACGATTATTTATTCTTTTGGACAAAATTTGTATAAAACAAAGATGTTTATAATCTAAAACAAAGACTAAACACAAAATTTTAAATACAAATTCCATTTTTTTATATAAAGTTATCATTTTGTGCGATTATTTGCTGTATTTAACAAAAAAAACAGGATTGTCGATTTAGTTAACGTCAACTTGACTGTATTTTTTTTAGAACCCCCATTTCTTTGACAAGCATAATTTTTTATAAAGAATGACTTTTCGTCATAAAATTATTTATAGATTAGATTAGATTTTTCTCCTCTTGTCAAGTCCATTCGTGGACACACTGTATAAGGGTTTTAGGAGTCGTTAATATTAATTTTAATATTTGATTTTAAAAATTCAAAATGGCGGGTATTTAAATCATTGGTAAGGTTACCTATTGATGCTTTTACATTAATGAAATAAATTGTAATTAGTCCATGAGATTTATTTCCAAACAAATTATTACTCCTACAAAGAGAGACACTGTAAAAAATAACCTCACGCATAAGTGGAGATCGCAGTGGACATAAAATGCTTTGGGAAGTTGTGGACATCCATGGACAAAAAAATACTTTTATCTTCACGCGGTCTATAATTTAAACTTTATTGATGTCAACATTCGATAAAGAAATACCTTGTTATGGCCTAGGCCGATAAAAAATTTTATGAGGCAAGTAATTAGTTCGATTTTTTCTCGCTAGGGGTATTGTTTTGACAAATTAATCCTTTTCTAAGAAATTAACGTACTAAACTGGTTTAATTTATTTATAATAAGCACTAATTTGTTTGTTTTACTGTTATAACATTATAATGTTTAATATTTTTCATTAAATTATTGTAAAATTAAATATGAATAATAAAACAAAAAGTGTGGTTAGGACATTGCAATTTGACGTTTCTGTGGATTTCACAGTTGTTTTCTTTTTCTACGATTTAAATTATCTTCAAATTTTAATTTGCTTTAAGTTTTCAGTAAAATTAAATGTTAAACACAGCGTAAACATTCCAAACTACCTATTTTTTTAATAAAAATGCAAACAAATTGAAATTAGATACCTATTTATTAAACAATTAATTGAATTCAATGTAATAGCAAAAGGGTAAGTAAACCATTTTCTTACAAAAATCCATTTCTACTGAAATCATGTAGCTAGGTATTGTCAAACTATTACTGCTTCTAAAAGGAATAATAATTATTGTACATTTAATGTAATCTTTAGCTAATAAATAAATGAGGTTCTAAAAAAGTGAGGTTAGGCTGCTTTCATGTTGAATTAAATTGACCTATATAAAGTGCTTTGAAGATAAAATGTTGTATGCCATTCGGCCAAGAAGTGTCTTTTTGTGCTTCGCTCAATTGTAGGCCTCCGCTACGCGTCGGCCTTCAAACTTTGAGCTTAGCACAAAAAGCCTTACTTCTTAACCTAATGACATAAATAACTATTATGTTAAAAACGACTTCTACTGCAGAGTAAAACTTATATAACTTTTATATTAATACATATTTTAAATATGATATTTGTAAAGTACATTTCCGAATTTGAAACAGGTACTTTTAGCAAAATCCACCTGCACTTGAAAAATATTGATTATTTCCGCCATTTTGAATTTTCCAAATTTAATATAAAATAAGATAAGAAAATCTTTTAAAGCATGCAAATTCACCATTTAGACAAAAATGTCGGCAATTTTGAATTTTCAAAATCCAATATCAAAATTGTAATCATCGCCCCCGAAAACCTTTAAGCTGGATTTATAGTTTTAAAGGTAACGGTAGAGGCAGCGGTAAAGGTAGAGGTAAAGGTAGCGGTAGCGGTATCACTTTCTGCAATTTATAGTTCAGAAAGTAGCGGTAGCGGTACTGACGGCGCATGCGTACTTTAATGCAGATTGTAATTTTGTTTCTAAAATTTAATAGCAAAAGGTTAAGTTTTCTATGAAAACATGAATTGCGAGGACAATTCTGTGCTTCTGGGCCATATGGCGTTGTGCGAAATATTATATAATAAACCCTGCAACACAATATATTATATATACAATATATTATACAACCTATTATGTTGTATTGCAGGGTTTCAAGTACGTTATGGGGGTCGTCAAGTACGTCGCTATAAAACGAGGGAATTAAATCGGGAACGAGCTAAGAAACGCCATTTCCAGTATTAAAATAAAATAAAATTGATCGATAAAGAGTAGTTCTTTAAATACACAAATGACGGTGACCATTTTTGACAAATTATCAAGTCTGGTTGCCCCTCGCATAAAAACTAAACTTACAAGGCGAGGCTGCCAACTGAAAACTGCCGTGTGATTGGCTGGAGTAGCGGTTGAGGTAAGAAAAGATGAAAGATGGTCATCTCTTGCCGCTACCTTCTTGCCTCTACCTCTCTTACCGCTACCTCTGACAACTATAAATTGTTTCGTACAATATTCAATGCCGAACTCGGCTACCGCTACCGCTACCTTTACCTCTACCTTTACCGCTGCCTCTACCGTTACCTTTAAAACTATAAATCCAGCTTTATGTACAATTTTGCAGGTCAATTCAAACCATTTTCGAGTTTTGGCGCAACATTATTTTGTAAGTAATTGCCGTTTGGAATTTTTCTGTGAAGTGAGATTTTTTCAGATTATTAAAATCAATACTTTATTAATAATTTGTGATAGAAAAATATTTTTTTGTAAATTTCAGAAAGTCAATTACATTAGGTCAAAGTTTTATAAAAATTGATTCATTGTTTCAAGAATAACAATGTTTCGTTTAAAAAGTTACCAAAAATTTAATTTCAACTATTTGCACCATTTCCCAGACTGCAATGAAAGTTCGAAAATATTCCAGGAATATGCCCTATCATCTAGGAATAATCCGCTTCATTCTAGGAATATTCCTAAAATGATCCTCTAAAACTTCCAAGCACCATCTAAGGACTTTTCCAGTGAATAATCATAAGTTTAGTTGCAATATACCTCTCACCGTTACTTACGCACGATTTAAACTATATAAACCCATACACTATGGTCTAGATAGCGATTTTAGCGCGAATTAATTCAAAAAGTAGGCTATTCTCAAAATTGACTTATTTAGTGGCATTTGACAGTTCACGATATGCAACATCGTTATCACAAAAACTTAGAGCTTAGAAAAAGAAATCTTCCCTATAATTAATATTCGAAACGCAGACCCCCATAATTAGTAATAAGATTTTATTTTTATGTCCGTGCAATTTTTTGTTTACTGCGAGTTTGTTTATGAATGGATTTGGATAATTTTATGTTTATACAATGGGTGAAGTCTCCCAAGGTAGGTTTTGAAATTATTTTTGGTTGTTATCCTATAGTTTTGTATAAATGATGTTTTTATTTTGGTACCACCACAAATTACTTATATTACTATCGTTCCTAAGGTTTTAAAAAATTGCAAAAGTTTGCAGATATAGTAATTACTTTTAAAAAGTAACTTAACTATATGACTTTATATTAAATATAAAATTAGGTCCTCCACATACATTCTGTATTTTTTATGAATTATTTTCAGTGGGCGAAAGGAACTTATTTTCAATTACGCGCAAGGAGCTTTTTGAAGAATGGTTAAAGTTAAAAGATTTAAAAAGAAATAATTGTTGTTATGCTTTGGAAACCTTCCTTCATTCTAAAAGAGATGTAAAAGGGCCATATATTCAGAATATATGTATAAAATTTGTTAAAAATATTGAATTCAAATGGAAAAGAAGTAACAACATTAAATCCAGATTTTTAAAATTAAATGAGGAGTGGTTATTGTCTACGATCAATTTAAAAGAATATGAAGAACCACTGCCAGGACCTTCAAAAGTTGGAAGACCTTTTAAATGCTTTAGCGAATGTGGTACAAGAGCTAAGCAAAATAAGGCAAGAGCATTAACAACAAGTTGTAGCACTAATAAACTGTCTTTTGCTGTTCAGATGAGTCTTAGAAAATGTGGAAAGCGAAATGCAGCAGTTATTGTAGGCCAAGTGACTGAAGAAAGTTCCCCAAAACGTGTGGCGAAATTAAAAAAGATATTGAGTGCAACAGAACTTGATAAATCCAAAGGTCTTACACCAGAGCAAGCCTTGTCGTTGATAATCAACACAAAATCCAGTAAGGCCACGTATTTGGCCTACAGAATGGCAGCCAAAAGTTGTAACAATAACATATATCCATCTTGGAATAAAGTCTTGGCGGCAAAGTCTAAATGCTATCCTCATCCTGGACAAGTTATTGTTGAAGATATGGGCGTTGAAATTAATCTTCAAGAACTTCTCAATTTGACAGCCCACCGCTTATGCACGTTACAAAAAGACGTATTAGAAACGTTTTTTGGGAAGCAACTTACTTTAGTATGTAAGTGGGGTCTGGATGGAAGTTCAGGACAGAGCAATTACAGACAAATGACAAATATTGGTAGTGGTGATTCATCTGTGCTCATTGCTTCCCTTGTTCCTGTTCAATTACGAGATAGCCGGCAAAAAACAAAAATATTGTGGCAAAATCCCGTGCCTTCGTCAACAAGATTTTGCAGAGCAATTAAGTTCGTTTTCGCTAAAGAAACTCCCGAGTTAACGCGAAATATTACTGAAGGGATCCAGGCACAAATTGAGAAATTACAAAATTTTATTCATGGAAACATTTCTATCAGTTTTTACCTTGTTTTAACAATGGTAGATGGAAAAGTTTGCCACAACCTGACTGGAACTAAATCAACTCAAAGCTGTTATATATGTGGCGCTACACCGAAAGAAATGAACGCTTTAGATAAAGTCGAGAAAAAGCTTCCAAAAACAGAAAATTATTGTTTTGGTTTGTCAAGTCTGCATTCCTGGATTCGTTTTTTTGAGTGTTGCCTGCATGTGGGATATAGAATGGAAATTAAAAGTTGGCAAACCAGGGGTGAAAATAGAACGAAAATGGAGACAAGAAAGAAGCTGATTCAAGACAAATTTAAAACAGAACTTGGAATTCTTGTTGACCAGCCTAAGCCTGGATATGGATCGACGAATACTGGAAATACTGCCAGGGCATTTTTTCTAAATGAAAAAAAAGCAGCAGAAATTACTGGAGTTGACCAAGAAATTGTTCATAGATTCCATATAATACTACAGACGATATCTTGTGGTTATGAAGTGGACCACGAAATGTTTAAAACTTATGCTATAGTAACGGCAAAAAAATTTATTTCTTTGTATCCTTGGTCAGGGCCGGCCCGAGGTACGGGCGAACCGGGCAACCGCCCAGGGCGGCATAATGGGGGGGGGGGGGCGGCATTTTTACGATTTGTTAATGATAATCAATTTTATTCAACATACAGTACCGTCTTGATGCTCGAAGAGGTCGGATGCGTCAAGATCCCTCCTAAGTGGCGTATACGGTACAAACGTAAAATACCAAAAACGAAACAAAGTATCCGGAAATGTCGGTGATCGTTAATGAATAATAAATAAATACATAAATAAACAAACAAGTGCAAGAAGTGCGAAAATTGTGAGATAACGCCGTAAAAGTGAGCAAGTGAATAAGTGCCTAATTGAGGCTGGGCAGCAACGATAAGTCAACCGGCGCACCTGGATCGGAGCGTTCCAAAAATGTCCTTTTTCTATGCAAAAACCTACAGGAGAAGGCCACCCCGCGAAAGACAAAGCATCAGGTTTATAGCCTAATAATCAAGCTAAGTAATTCTTCTAATTGCATGTCTTACCGTATAATCGTTAAATGTTTATATAAGCATTTCACAATGTTGCAAAAAAACCTAAGAAATCTAAGAAATCTATTCGTCTTAAAAATTAAATTTAAAAAATAATAAGAACATTTCCGTAACTGTTAAATAAACAACCTAATTTTCTCATAGTAGACAAACGTAAACAACCAGCGTAAAAGGCGTAAGCAAATAAATCAATTCAAGCAAGAAGACAAAAATTTATCATAAATAAATTTAGGGTCACACGGCAGATCCCATGGGCTGCAGCAAGCATTTTCCGTTACTTGTCTCCATTAACATTGCCCGTATTCATTTCATTAAACATAACATTTATTTTACTTGAAAATGTTAAAATAACTTTAAAATATAATTGTTTTGTTTTTAATTACTATCATTGCAAAATTGTATTAAAAAGTGTTAAAAATTCTTACACGGGCAATGCTAATGGTGATAGGTATCGTTAAAGTGTTTATTGGGATATCTTTAAAACCTGCGAAGGGCGCGCGGCGTGGGGCAATAAGTCTGTCAACGGCAAGTGCGTAAAGCGGTCCCAATCGAGACCGAAAATAAACACTGGACTGACAGAGTAAACTAACATTGATCACATAATTCTAACACATTAAAAAAAGGGCCTAATAGCCAAACTCGAGATTTGTAAACATTAGACGACAGAATGATCGCGCTTGTGATTTGTTGGACTAGCGAATAAATCCAATGCCTTGGAATTTGATAAACAAAGACGGAACTCTGCCACAAAACGTGCTTGGGACAAAAATTATTAAAAACAACTGACACACTTTACCAAGGGCAGGAGCTATCTGACCAGGACACGGACAATGACAATAACGAACAAGACAAAGACCTCGACTACACCCCTGCAGCGAAATAACAACTCCCCAACTCCAAATAGTAATCCCAAATGTTTGGAGTAAAACTAATCGACTGGTCTAGGGGGATTCCGCGTCGTACTTAGTTTTAAGTCGGCGTAATTGTCCCCCAAAAACCAACTCCCTCCCGTCCCTCATCCACACCCCACCGAGCGTATAGCATAGGCTCGGCGAACCCGGGAATGGCTATTATAACTATTCGCCTCTCGCTCTCGAGCCCCAAATAGGGGACAGTACGAAACGCAATGGACATTCGCACCCAGCAAACACGGGTGAAGCCGTGCAGTTGCTGGGGAAGAACAAAAATCGGCGCAAGTAAACATAGGCCTGTACGGGGTTCGAGAGTCAAGAGGAAATGGGGCTGGTTATACGTCTCTTATACTCATACTCATAATCAATTTTATTCAACATACTAAACATTTTTCGATTGGCGATTTTTTCAAGAATTACGCTCGAGAAATGCAGTTTAGATAATTTAATATCTTTGTTACAAAGATTTAATAGAGGCGCTCTCGGAAGACGACCCTGGCGCCCTCTTTCATTCGCTTCTTCAAATCACATCCTGTAGTTTTCTATAATTTTGCAATGCACTGATTTTAAAATCAGTGCATTGCTAAGGTAATTAATTTGCATTGCTAAGGTAATTAATTTGATAATTAGAAGTATAAAATGTCTGGAAAACGCAAAAAAGATTCAGGAACTTTTTATAAAAACAAAAGAAGGGCGCGTGCGGCGGAAAATCGAGTACTAGCAGCAACCTTTTTCAAATTCTTGCAAAAAGAACCATCGTAGGCAGGTATAATAATTATACTATAATTAAACAATATTGCATATATGAAAATGAAGTTTAATTTTTGTTGTGTACATTTAAACATTGTTTTTAGAGGTCTAAAATCAATCTTCTGACGTGCATCACAGCAGGATTCGGTTTTGCCAAAGTCCGCTAAACTCATTACGTAATTATTAAGTTAATTTACTTTTTTTTAAAGATGATTCACCTGAAGTAAGTAAGTTACTTAAAATATTCGGGTGCACAAAAATACGATATTTTAACAGCAATTACCTATGTATGTAATAATCTATAGCTATAGCTCGCGGAATATTGCGAAAGTAAATTTTAACAAACCAAAGAATTCTTATAATATAAAAATATTGTTTAATTATACTCACTATATACAATAGTGACACTATTTAATAATATATTTATATTATATCCTATATATGGGATATAATCATGTATATATACATATTTAACAGTATATTGCCTTACCTAGTAATTCTAAAGCATAAAAAACTCTTATAAAAAGTTTGAAAAAATAATTACGTTAAACTACTTTTTTTCCTATTCCTGCTGAATAAAAAGGGGGCGGCAAAAATATCTTCGCCCGGGGCGGCAAAAAAAGTCGGGCCGGCCCTGTCCTTGGTTTTATATGCCCACCAGCGTTCATAAGATGCTGATTCATGGCTCAGAAATCATAAAGCACGCAGTTCTTCCAATTGGCCAGTTAGGAGAAGAAGCCCAAGAAGCGAAAAACAAGGACTTTAAATTTATTAGAGAACATCGCTGTAGAAAAGATTCAGCAAAACATACAAACGAAGATTTACTTAATTATTTTGTGTTATCCTCAGATCCCATTATATCACACTTATCGCTAAAAGATAACATGTCAAAAAACAAAATAAAAGTTGATTCTGAAGTTTTAAATATGCTAAAAGCTCCTCCAAAATCATTTAGTGTAGGCTCAGTTTCGTCTGATTCGGACGCTGATTAATTTTATTTCTTTGTCTATTGTTTTGAAGTTTAGTCGGGTTATTTTTTGTTTCTGTGTGTGTTTATTTTTTTAATTTATAATAAAATAATGCTAACATATTACTTTATCGTTTTTAAATTATCATACAGCAACTACAAGTCAATTCAACGGTGCTTCTAATTAATTCGCGCTAAAATTGCTTTCTAGACCACTTCTAGGAATATTCCTAAAATGATCCTCTAAAACTTCCAAGCACCATCTAAGGACTTTTCCAGTGAATAATCATAAGTTTAGTTGCAATATACCTCTCACCGTTACTTACGCACGATTTAAACTATATAAACCCATAGGTTAAAAATATCAGTTGGAGATGTGCGTCTGTGATGGCACAGCTTAACAATGATTAGAGTTTGACTGATCTACTCAGTAACTAATAATGGCTAGTTAAATTAGGTTACTTGGTATAAGTGGCCATAAGAGCTAGGAGTAATCCCCAAATTTTATTAAGGGACATTCTCCTAACAATACTCAAGTCTTATGCCTTATGGTTAATCAAAAAGCGGACATTTGATTACGCCAGTGAAATTCCTGGGAATATTCTGGAACGCTTGGAATAATCCTGGGAATATTCCTGACAAATCCAGGGAATGGGATTTTGCGGTCTGGGAGAATATTCCTGGGAATATTCTCTTAACAATACTTAAGTGTTATGCATTCTGCTACATGGAATATTCTTTTTATGATGACTGTGTTAACCAAAAAGCAGACGTTTGAGTACGCCAGGAATATTCCTGGGAATATTCTGGTACGCTAGGAATAATCCTGGGAATGTTCCTGATGTATGCAGGGAATGGGATTTTGCGGTCTGGGTTTACTAAATTTAATATTATTTGTCAAAGTATTGCTTGATGGCAGATAACACACTTCTGTGCTTTAGGTCATTAAACCGTTAAAAATCACCTAAACTATTTTCATCCCATTATTAAACTTGTTTTATAAATTTCAAAATTTTTAGAATTAAAAAAATATATTTTGCTTTATTCACAAACATAAAAAAAGAGCTAACAAAAGGTTGAACAATTCCCATAATTTTGTTTTTATTCTAACATAATTTAATACTAATATTATTATCCGTAACAAAACCTTTAGAAGATATTAATTATTGTGTTATTACGATAATACCCTTATTTTTCTAATATTTGTTATAATAAAACTGTGCCTTGAAGATAAAAGTTGTATGTCATTCGGCTGAGGAGGTTCTTTTTGTGCTTTGCTCAATTATTCAAACTTTGAGCTCAGCACAAAAATACTCATTTCTCAGCCTTATGACATAAAGAACCATTATTGAATATAATAATTTATTAGGTAGGCAATACCAAAAACAAAATAATACTCACTGGAAATCGAATATCCACTATAAATAAAATAATATCAGACATTTCCAAGACTCTCCATAGCTGCCTCCAAGTTTCCAAATTTAGTTCAAAAAAACTTAATTCCTTCCAAGAAAACTTGCTCTCAATATCTTTTAAGTATTCCTACAATTAATTGATTTTTAAAATTTACTAAAATTAATATTATTGGTTTTTACCATAAAATATTTATTTTCTTGAGATTCCAAATCATGTTTAGATAATTTAAAAGACCATGCAGGTCTTCTAGGAAAATCTAGATCATTTACAAAATAATCATCGCCGTTTATTTCCAAAGAATGAGTGTGAATTGGTTCTAAACTATGCCTTGCCAATTCTTTGCGCTGTCTAATCTCTTCTTCTGATTCTTTAAAAAATTGCAAAGTATAACGATTTGGGTTTGCTGCACCAGCTTTCTTTGGTTGAAAATTTAATTTTTGTATACTTGTACTAGCCTCTTCATCTGAATTATTTAACAAAATCGGTTTCCTATGAGAATCCCCTCCTAAAAAATTAATTTAACATAAATTTAACAATTTTTACATTCAATTTTAAACAGACCTTGTTTGTTTTGCTTTTTTTCTTTAAGCTGTTCCTTTTTAGCTTTTCCACTAAATGGAGTTTTTCTTTTACCTTGGGGCATTTTTTAAATTTTACATTGAAATATTCTTCGGATTTTAAATTTTTATTTTAGGTTATTTTACAGGTTAGGTTTCATAGTATGAAATTCATACACAGTTTTCATAGATACCAACAGTGTTGTCAAGTTTTTTAATAAAATAAAGGAAGAGTCTACTAAACCGCCAGCGGTATATTAATAAATTGTTATTAAATCGCCGGTGGTATATTAATATATACATACTGTATAGCTATTGTTAGTAAACTACCGCGGAAATCATGTGACATTTAGGTACGTAACAAAAACTAATGTGCATTTATTTATAAAAAGTGGATCAGATCCCGGTAGCCGGGCCCTGAAAATTACAATAAAAATCCCAACAACCGAGATTTTTTACATTTTATTTAGAAATCCCGGGATCCAGGATTTATAAAATACAATTAAACTCCCGACAACCGGGATTTCTTACGTATGAGAGCGTCTTAAGACTTAAGACTTAATTAATCTAAGACAAAGTCTTAGGTCTTAGGTCTTAATGGTCCAAATCTTTGTATCATGGGTCCAAATGGCTTACCGTGGGGAATGCATATTCTGGCAGTGCGCCGTGCATGTAGTAACCCAACCCAATAAGGTGTATGTATCTTGACCCAATCCAACCCAACCAAATGCAGTCACTGCCTGGTTTTCTGGTTTAAATGTTAGAAATTTCGGTTGCCGGGAGTTTAATTTTATTTTATAACTAGTTAGCTAGTTTAGCTAAAAAGTAAAAAATCACGTTTGTCGGGATTTCAATTGTAATTTTTAGGTTACCGGGACTTGATCGAGGGATCGATCCACTATCTTAATAGAAGAACATTTTTTGTGCCACATTGTATTTTTTAAAAATGTAAATTAGTAAAAACCCAGTAAGCACAAGCTATAGCCGGCCCGCATACGGCCCGAATATGTTTTGCCGAATCGGCCGCGTGAGGCCCGACACATGTATTTGTTCCGGCGTGTAGACCGGTCATGTCCGCCTGGCCGAATGTCGGCTATGTTTACCTATAGGATATATATACCTATCAACACAGCACACGGAAAATTATAGAAGTGTATAGGATGACTCCGCGTTTGAATATCAAATCTTAAAGTTTTATCATACCCAATAAACATTTTTCTGACTTCCGACTAAACTTGCACTATGTTCGACGTCGCTTTAAGTGAAAATTGCGGTCGGATAATAACTTTGTATCCGAAGTCATTGTTCGACGTATATTTACGTCGGTTGAACGTCAAGTCGTACTTTGGTTAAAAAAAAATTACGAGAATTGTTCGAAATGCCAAAAGAAAAGAAAAAAAGAATTTTTGTAGTGTTTTTGTCAGTTTTTTTCTGACACACTTTTTTGGCTAGTTGCGGTATAAAATTTTCTTTAGCCAATTTAGGTATATGATGGTACATCATCATACTCTTTATATTTTAGGGAAGGTTTTACCTCTCTTAGTATTCATGAAACAATTGTTATTAATAATTGTGGTATCTCAGTGTCAGAGACATCAGCATCTGAACAAGAGCACAAGGCCCCCATACATATATTGCAATATATGTATGGGGGCCTCGTGCTCTTGTTCAGATGCTGAAGTTATTGTTTGCAGCATCCGTGGCAAATTTAAAGGTTGCATAGCCTTGCACTTATATTGCCTCCAATTTTTTTTATCGGGAGAACTATTAATTTGTTCTCGAAAGAGAATCGTTTGGCTCACTGATTTGGGGAACCAGAGTGTCTCCTTCTCTTTCTACCTATGCGGCACGGACTCCACTTCCCCCTTGGGGCAAATCCTTAACATACCCCATTTTAAAATGCTCCATAATAACATAGACAACACACAATAATAGTACCAACATTGGACCGAATTAGCAAAGCTTCCCTAAAAGAAAAAGCGCAGTTTTTCAGTTTGACATATGATTTTCAGGTTAGGTAGGTCGTTACGAGGGAAAAATAGGTAGTTTAAATGACTCGAGGTCTCAAACTTCGTCGGAAATTGGAATTTCGAGCTACCGACGTCGTTAAGACGTCTTTTATTGACCGTCGGTTGGTATGTGGACAAATTTGGTTAATTTGTTGACTACGCCATTTTCGCGAACAAAACAAAGAGGTGACGATGGACGCCATTAAAGAAAGATTTGCTTTTTTTTAGATTTTTACGGTTCATTGAAATAAAATAACAACTTTTTTATGTTTTTTAAGTTAGTTTTTTAGAACTGGTTAAAATTTTGTTTAAAAAACACATTTTTATTAAAAATTATTTTTTTGCAAAAATAATTAAATATGCAAAACTGAAAGATTTCTTGAAGCCCACTCATGTTTTGCCAGCAATCATAACCATATTTATCAGTAAAGTGCCTTTCGTATGGATATTTCAATATAGATCACCCGTTAAAAGTCAAATAATACATTACTACATTGTTATAAGTGTTCATTCCATAAAGAGTCGACATCTTTTGCATTCCCTTGTGGAAATTTTTCTCTGAGAAAGTCTTACTTTCTCTGAAAAAGTCTGAATAATACTTATTAAGTCGGAAAAAGTCAGAATAAGACTTATTAAGTCGGAAAAAGTCTGAATAAGTCTTATTAAGTCAGACTAATAGCAAGATTTGGGAGTCTTCTGGAAGAGTTAATAAGACTTTTTAAGACTTAATAAGACTTTTAGTAGAGAAATGGTAGGTACCTATGGCGATAAAAATAAATATCCGAAATAATTTATAGAGGTTGTATTTGGTTATCGTAAAATAAAACACATAGACAAGTCGTCACCTGAGAATTATAGTGTTCTATCTACATTTTCTTTTTTTTATTCAGGTTAGTCTTGTTTTAAGTCTTAAAGATGATATTGATCTATCTATATATAATTGGGGTAGAAATTGTAAAGTTTAAGGCTTAAACTGTACAATTTCTACCCCAATTATATATAGATAGAACAATATGCATCTTTAATACTTAAAACAAGACTAACCTGAATAAAAAAAAAGAAAATGCAGATAGAACACTATAATTCTCAGGTGACGAAGTATTTATTAACATTTTTGCTGTTGTTATAAGCCAAGTTTATTGCATAATTACCTATATACTGACATAGGTAAGATGTAATAATTATAACAATTATAATTTTATACATACGATGCGCTTAACATGCTTTCATTGTTTCCAACATAGAAAAAGGAGTTAATATCAAGTCTATAGACATGATATTTTCGATAGACTCGTAAGACAAATATGCACAGAACATAACAAATATGGTTGATCTTCGTGTTTCATTCTTCTTTGTATCATGGTTGATCTTCGTGTTTTCGTACAGTGTTGCCATAAAAGTTCCTGACCATAAATTACAAAATACTAAAATATTAATAAAAATGTAACAAGATAGAATAAAATAATTGTGCATACTTATTTAGTAAATATACAATATTATTTACTGAAAATTTCTTTTGTTATTATTTTGATAGAAATTTGCAAATCACCCGCAAAGATTATGAAAATACCCGATTTTCGAGTAAAATACTTGCAAACGGCAACACTGTGTCCCACTGACAGGTCAGCTGTGCTCTAATTGGTCAGCTAGCTAAGCTGGTCTCTCGATATTACGTCTTACGTCTATTGTTTGTAACAATGTTTAAATAGGTAAATATTTGCGTGTATCAAAAGAAACTATTAAAATAAAACGTACAGTGGCAACTCCTTTTTCTATGGTGGAAGCATGCATGTCAAGCGCATCGTATGTATAAAATTATAATTGTTATACCTAATTATTACATCTTACCTATGTTATTATATAGGTAATTATGCAATAAACTTGGCTTATAACAACAGCAAAAATGTTAATAAATACTTTTCTATGTGTTTTTTTTTACGATAACCAAATACAACCTCTATGAATTATTTCGGATATTTATTTTTATCTCCGTAGGTACCTACCATTTCTCTACTAAAAGTCTTATTAAGTCTTAAAAAGTCTTATTAACTCTTCCAGAAGACTCCCAAATCTTGCTATTAGTCTGACTTAATAAGACTTATTCAGACTTTTTCCGACTTAATAAGTCTTATTCTGACTTTTTCCGACTTAATAAGTATTATTCAGACTTTTTCAGAGAAAGTAAGACTTTCTCAGAGAAAAATTTCCACAAGGGTTTATATGTCTTTCTACAATATTGGTAGAGATTAAGTTATTTTATTAACGCAGGACTATTTGTTTGTGCAGCGTAATGACGAAATAGGTAAAAATCTCGACTACTGCAGTAGTCAGCAACCGACGTCGTGACGACCCAAATTCGTTCGCTCCATTTAGGTACAAATGATGGTCATCATGTGAGTCATACGACGTCGGCTGCCGACGTCGGGTCGCCCCAGACGACGTCGCTTTTACGTCCAAATGTTTATTGGGTAACTGTATTGAATCGTGCTTTGTTTTTATATTTTTCGGCTCTATACCTATGCACGACTATATTTAAAGTCAAACTCAATGGTGTCTTACAAAATACATTATTTTGATTTTCTATATTCAACAGAGGAGTAGAAACTCGACCCTGTCGAATGGTGCAGTCATTTATGTCTCTAGAAATTATTAAAAAAGGGTTCAGTCCAATGGTGCAGCAACTTCGGATTCCTATTCTCCTCAGAGTATGAGTATGAGTATAAGAGACGTATAACCAGCCCCATTTCCTCTTGACTTTCGAACCCCGTACAGGCCTATGTTTACTTACGCCGATTTTTGTTCTTCCCCAGCAACTGCACGGCTTCACCCGTGTTTGCTGGGTGCGAATGTCCATTGCGTTCCGTACTGTCCCCTATTTGGGGCTCGAGAGCGAGAGGCGAATAGTTATAATAGCCATTCCCGGGTTCGCCGAGCCTATGCTATACGCTCAGTGGGGTATGGAGGAGGGACGGGAGGGTGTTGGTTTTTGGGGGACAATTACGCCGACTTAAAACTAAGTACGACGCGGAATCCCCCTAGACCATGGTCTAGGTATTACTCCAAACATTTGGGATTACTATTTGGAGTTGGGGAGTTGTTATTTCGCTGCAGGGGTGTAGTCTCCTAGT